CCACATGCAGAGGCAACGTCGTTTGCCGGAGGAGCACGCTCGCTTTTATGCAGCTGAGATTAGTTTGGCACTAAACTTTCTGCACGAGAAGGGCATCATCTATCGCGATCTGAAACTGGACAACGTGCTGCTGGATCATGAGGGCCACATAAAGCTAACGGATTACGGCATGTGCAAGGAGGGCATTCGTCCGGGTGACACCACCTCCACCTTCTGCGGCACACCCAACTATATAGCGCCTGAGATACTGCGTGGCGAGGATTATGGCTTCTCGGTGGACTGGTGGGCACTCGGTGTGCTTCTCTACGAGATGCTCGCTGGTCGCAGTCCCTTCGACATTGCCGGCGCTTCTGAAAATCCAGATCAGGTAGCTTTCATAGATTTGCCCAACTCCAGCAGATGTCTAACATTTCATTCATTGATTGCAGAACACCGAGGATTATCTATTCCAAGTGATTCTGGAGAAAACCATACGCATACCGCGTTCGTTGAGCGTCAAAGCTGCCTCCGTTCTCAAAGGATTCCTCAACAAGAATCCTGCCGATCGCCTGGGCTGCCATCGCGAATCTGCCTTCATGGATATTGTAAATCATCCGTTCTTCAAGGTTATTGATTGGGAAATGGTAAGTCTAAGGCCAACGCATGGACACTATCTGTTTGTGTGTATTTGATGATGTCAGAGTGTTGTTAATAATGATGATATTTGTGGTGCTCCAATCATTTTAGAGCTCAAAATATTATAAGTAATTATTTAATGTTCAAGTTAATCCGGAGCAGAGCAGAGCTTTCTTTTTCCTGTATACCCTGTTCCCAAAGAAAGAATTTATATAGTCAGCTTTGGCAATGTTAGTTATTTCTGTCTGTCCGAAATTATATAATTTATAATCTCCTTGAAGCCCGCCCTATGCTTAAAGCTAGAGTTAATAATGACAGAGTAAAGGAAACTTTTAAAAAATAAGACGTTAAGGGACTCTTTTTGGAACTCTCGAAATCAAAATAAGATAGGGTAGGATAGATATGTAGGGAATAAAAGTGAAAGAACCTTTAAATAGGTTGGTATATTTAAACCCGAATATAAAACATACATCAATCAGCATTCGAATTTATGTCAAGAAATAAATATTGTAGTTAGTGAAAGGTGCTCCAAAAATGTTTTCATTTCTAATTGAATGAAGACAACCTTATATGTTAATTGTCAGAATTTAATTTATTTATTTTCTGGTGTATTTTGAATATTGCGAGTATTTTAACCCATATGATTAAGTATTTAACGTACTATATATAATTTTGTGTATGAAAAGATTGCACAAAAGGAGGTACAACCGCCTTATATACCAACCCTGGATCCTGGCGATCCTTATATGACAACAAACTTTGACGTTCAATTTACCAGAGAACCGGCTGAATTGACGCCAGACGATCCGTAAGTTTTGTGTCAAGAAAAACAAATGTAAAAAAAAAAAAGAAAAGTAAATGCCTTCTAGTTTTGGTTATTTTGTTCTATTTGTACAACGACGCATGAGACAATACCCAAAAATAAATTATACGAATAATAACTTCATAGCATTCGCGGTCAGACTAACAGCAGGTAATGTTCGCTCTCAGCCACATTGTGAACCCGCCCGCTGTCTCCTGCTCGACTCTCTATTATCAATCAACCCCCCCCCCCCCCCTTTCAAAAATAAAGATCACCCCCCTACCCAGCTCGATCTATCTACTTATCATCATTATCATCAATACACACACAGAAAAACGCACACGGACATGCATTCGAAATGTGTCCTGAGCCTTATTGAATTTGTTTTATCCGTTTGCCGAAATTGGCTGGCACTATCTTTAGCTATAATCATTTTATTTTTACTATCTTTGCATATCCTCTATACACACACGCACACACACGCACACGTCTGCACAACCAAACACATGCCAATTTCAACCTCATGCAGCTCGAACGCAAACAGGTTTCGCCTCCATTCAAGCCACGCTTAGACTCAGATCGCGATCTGGCTAATTTCCCGATCGAGTTTACCGGGGAACCGGTGCAGCTGACACCAGATGATGAGTAAGTTGGTTTTTTGTTATAATTCTCTTCCTCTATAATCGATTTTTAACAATCCAATAGGTTTTCAAATATTATTTTTACTAATATATCATTCTCTTCCATAGCCATGTCATTGATAATATCGATCAATCGGAATTCGAGGGCTTCGAGTATGTAAACCCCTTGCTTATGTCATTGGAGGATTGCGTCTGACACCACGAGACGTGTGATTTACATCCATATAATATGCGTGTAAGTAAAACCTAAGCAACCGATGATACTTTTACCATCAATGTTAAAGTATGTGTCAAGCTTAAACTGAACCTTAAGTATATTTCTTTAGACGTTTGATTCCTATTTTATCTTATCTATTGTAAAAGCAATGAAAAAGCAACCAATATTTCAACCTTTTTAGACTCTGTAATTGAAATTGAATTTCATTATTAACTCTTGCAGCTTTATGGCGAGGATTCCAGTGATTACGATTCCGTGGCTGACGATTTGAGCCTCTTGCATTTGAACAGCGCGGGAGGTGCAGCCAATACCAATAATAATATAAGCCAGCAGCAACATTATCGCCAACAGCAAACGCTACAGGCACAGCAATATCATCCATACCCACAGCAACAACAACAACAGCAACAACTGCAACAGCAACAGCAGCAACTGCAACAGCATCAGCAGCAGCAACATCATCATAATGGTAACAATAACAATCATAATAATCAAATGCAAGCAAATAATAATAAAAGTCTACTGCAGCACATGTTTTGCCTTCCATTGAACTAATTAAAATTACGAATTAGAAAATGAACAGCAACAAGAGCAACAAATAGCAGACAGCAACAACAACTAGCAAATGCAACAACAAAAATATATATATATAAAAAAACATAAAATACTAAAAAAAAAAGCAATTACAATATTAAGCAATTATAATCTTCTATATAAAACATGTCTTAAAACGAACACTACTTTCATACCAAAAACAAAAGAATGAAGAAAAAACGGTCACAAGTTGCGAGTATTACACTAAACTACAAATGATTACTTTACTATTTAAGCACCTAGGCAGCTAGGCAAAATCTATGCATGCAACAGCAACATCAACAACAACAACAACAAACACACAACAGCAACAAACAATTTCATAACTCAATGCAAGACTTTTCAGCGAATTCACCTAAAAAGTATGCAGCAACATTTTTAGCATCTAAACAAAATATATATAAACATATAATTTTTAAATATTTAAAAGCAAAACATTTAATTTTACTACAAACAACAACAAAAAGTGAAAAAATATAGATACACTATTTAACAAAAAAAAAAAAAAAAAAAGGAATGCAAAATCAATCTATTATATTTAAGCGCGTAATTATTATGTAAAATGTATGTGTGTTAGTGTTAGTGAGCAGAACGGTTTTTAAAAGCAACAACAACAAATTGATACAAGTGTGTGTAAACAGAAAATCCTTTAAAGTATAGAACTAATTGAACTGGCAAAATTATCAAAAAAATATGCATCAAAATTTGATGACACGAACAAACATTGAAACGCTCTAAAATAAATATACATATATATATATATATATTTATAAGCAATCGATAATTTATTGTATTTTCTGTATTATTAAATTTACACAATATCTTAAAAAAAAGAAAAGAAAAGAAACATCCGTCTACTGGCAATTTTTTTGTTTTGTTAAGTATTAGAAACACATTCCACATTGTACTTACTATACGAAATTGTTGTTAAATTTTTGTAAATTACGTATAAGTATGAGATTTTCAGCAAGCAATAAATTTATTATTTTTATTACTGTCCCGTTTTATTGCTCGTTGTAAACGATCTGAATATTGAATCATTTTCGAAACACGAATTTGTTATGTGTTCCCTAGAAAATTGTTTCAATTTTTTGCATTGCGTGAGTTTTTAAAATAAAAGTATATTAATAAAACGTGTAAATTATGTTTTATAATCCATTAACGAGTAGACATATTATAAAACAAAAGTAATTCAACAAACAAAACAGAATTCAATTAGTATTAAAACAAAAAATATCATTGTGTTGCTTTAACTTTAATGAAAATTTACAAAATTGTCTTTTTAATTATCTACAAATTATTGAAATGAATCGTATATGATAAATAAAAGAAAACAAAAAAAAAATAAGTAGTTAATTGTTAATGTATTCAAAGTGACAACACGTAAAGCAATTTAAAATTATTAAACGCAAATACAAATTCTAAAAACATATTTTGATTAAACGAAAATAATAACAAGCAATCAATTAAAGCCTAACATAGTACATCATTTACATACATACATACATACGTACATACCTACGTAACTGATGAACACTGAACAAATTTAGTATGCACCTTTTAATTGTAAAAAAAAAAAAACGTAGTGACAGCAATGAATTCATGAGAATGATTTTTAATGTAAGAGGAATTTTCCTAAAGTTTTCAAAACAACAAAATCAATTGTAGACGTCAAAACTTTTTTAGGCAAATATATATTTATACCACATATATTTTTTCTTCAAGTATTTAACTTAAATATATTTGTTTATTTGAACAATGTATTTGTATATTTTTATTTTTTCAAGTGCTGTTTCTAATCAATTTGTGTTTTTAATTTTTTGTATTTTTCATTTTTATACTAAATGCACTTCGAGTACTTTGAATGCTAGCAAAATGTCAAATGAAATTGAGAACGTGAACCATTTGCGTTACAATTATGCATATAAACAAACGAATAAACTATTGTGTAAGTAAAACTTTAAACAATTTTTTGTTCATTATGGACGCGGTGGGTCTGGTAATTTTGCTATGTCAACTAATGAAATTAACAAAGGAACGCTAAGGATAAAATATCCATGTAGATATCTTAGTTTACTTTGATATAGTTTTTCAGATATCGTAAGAGTATAGAATATATATATTAAATATGTTGTCTTATAACAATTTATTTATTAACCAATTCTTGCACTAGAAATATATGCTATAGCAATCCAATTTTGATAGGACTTTGCTCAGATATAAGGAACATAGTGTATATTATAAAAAGCTGTTCATAAAAGAACCTAATTGTTGATCGATCGCTCCCAAGACAGCTATTAGATATATTGGTCCAATCCAAACGGTTCCAACATATGTATAGTCTGCAATAAAGTTTCAAAATTTGGTTCCATATAATTAACATATCTCTAAATGGGTATGCATGGCACTTTCCTAAACACTGGATTGAGTTCTATAGACAACGGCAACAGTAATCCAATTATTTACTACTGAAACCGATTTAGTATGTATCTAAGTTGACGAAAACACAAGGAATCAATGACAAGATGCAAATGTGGTGCCCTTTGTCTTAGCTAGATTTAGTTTGTTTGTAGTATGGAGACGGGTTCCTGCATGATTTGCTGTATCTTTGCTTCCGGCACAGGCACGCCGTTAACGAGCAGGGTGTGCACGATGCCGTCGTGTTTGTTGCCGCTTGAGCGTGCCTGTAATACAAATTGTGTGTCCTGCAGCACAAAGCTCGTATCCGTGCCGCCGTGCACAAAAACGGCCTAAAAATAAGGTAGGCATGATTGATGGCCAGGCTTGGCCAGCGGCCTGCTTCCGGTCGACTACATACCATCTCCTCGCGTAGCTCATCGTTTACATACAAGCTGAGCGTGTCCAGCTTGAGCATGATGCGATACTCCTGGGACGCATCCGTTGTCCCAGCCTGCTCCGTGCCGCATGTGCAGAGCCAGAGGCGATATAGCCGTGTCAGCTCCTCGGCGTACTGAGCGTGCGGCTTGCCATCTATGTACAGCGAGTATTCATATTTGAAACCGGGCGCGGGATCAACGCGAATAATGCATCGCGCCTGATCGATTTCAAACGTATCCTCGCCAACCAACTTAAACATCCAGTCTCGACGCAACACCTCCTGCAAAAGTCAAATGCACGCATAAATAGGGGAGATATATTCCAGAAAAGTTTCAATTATTTTCATAATTTCTGAAGGTAATATAGTTTGCACACGTGTCTTTATATAAAACTGTTTGTCCTGACTGACTAACTGATTGACTGACTGATCAACGCACAAATCCAACCATAGATACCTTAATTAAAAGTCCACCTAACAGAGACGGGCATGATGACAGCTTTGACGTTTATATTGATCTGGATTACATATGCTTTATAGGGTTATAGGACTTGTAAGCCTTTGCACTGCACAAAATAATTTTACCCTCTACAAGAGTATAAAAATCAAGTAAAAGTGCTCCAGTCTGTCAAATCATATCTTTTTCCACTTTTCGTGCGCTGATTTTTAAAGTCGGGCTACATTCAAAACAATTTCACACATTGAACCTAAAAAATTTTAAAAACGACTTTTCTAAGTTCTTAAGTTTAAATGAGTACAAAATAATATTAGACCTTATGGTTTATGTTATGTTTTCCTATACTTTAAATAATATTTTTAATGATCAATTTCTGAAATTAATAAGTGTTTTAACGAGCTTGGGAATTCCACATAGGGTCAAACGTTGAGTGAACGAAAGTTTGTATTTGTATGAAGTTTAAATAATTTTTAAATATCTATGCAACTTACAAGTTAAGAATTTTAGTGAATGATGCCATCTAAATATTTGTAAGCTTCTTAGGCCATTAAAAAAATGCGCGCTTTACAATTTTGGGAGTGATGGAGGAGTTATGCAAAGGTCTTCTGTATCTCAGTATGCTCTAGGAAAGTCTACATACCGAATTATATTTGTAACATTTAGTTGCACAAAATCATTTCACCCTTTTTTCTGAGCCCAAGTATTATAAAACTATCTATCGCCAATTTTTCCCAGTTGTGGGTGGAAAAACCGAAATCGCTGAAACACGCATTCTTAAAGCACTTATGTAATACATTGCTTTGATTCCGACTAAACTGTCACACCTCTCTCGCACAGAGATATTTAAAATCAGTTTTGAAATGAAAAAAGGGAGAAAGTCCGTAGAAAGAGTTTCATATATGTATATGAATAGTAATAAAGTTGTATTATGTCTGCAATACACATTTAAAGTAGCTCAGTCTTTCTAGAATTTACTATAAAGAATATTTGCCTGTGCTTAATATATAAACTTGTTTGTGGTGCTTGTATGACTAATTGCGCTATTATTGGGGTGTGCTTTGAAAGTGCATTCACCACTTACCCGACCATTGACCCAGATCATGCGGCGTCCACTTGTGGTGCCGTGCTCCAGTTCGATGCGGTACATCTGGGCGCATTTGAAAGAACAGAGAGCCGAAAGTTAATTAAATGATAGTCAACGTGGCGTTGGAGATAGGGCAAAATGAGGCTATTCAGAATGGAAATGAAGTGAACCTTGCCATTGATGGGCGCACACCATTGGGCAACGATGTTCTCTTTGTTGTAGCGCTCTGCCTCAGGCACATGGTCCAGACTCATGATGGGCACTGTTGACAGATTCTCCATGCGCAGCGTTGGCGACAGAAACGACATAGCCGGGCCGGGCACTGAAAATCGATTTCAGTTAATAATCATTTAGTTGTTGCATTAAAAATGCAAGCAACTAGAGCTGGTTACACAATGCAACAAAGTTTGGCAACAAGACAAATGCACTTTCAATTAAAAGCTAACTAATTGCAGGGCCTTATTAACACCTTTGCTGTTAGTTTGCCCAATTAGTTATGCTCTGCTTTTGTTACTATTATTATTATTATTATTATTATTATATTATATTCGTCAGCGCGTGGGCGGCAGCGCGAACCGTCAGCATTCAGCGTCAATGGCACACTAAACAACACACAATAATGCCACAAAGAACTAAAGAAAATTTGTGTAGTAGTTGTTGGCCCCGGGTCTGGACTGTTTCTGGTCGAGTTGCGTTGTCGATGGCTCTTTCTGTTGTGGCTAGAAAAAGTGCACAGCCAGCGCCGGAGCCAGAGCTAAAGCCAATGCCGTAGCCGGAGCGCGCCGCATGGCGCCAAAAACCGAGTTGATTTGTTTCGCTTTGAGTGTGCGTGTGCCTGAGTGTGTGCGTGTGTGTGAGCTTAAGCCCCACAGCTCAGCACTTTGCTGCGTGAGTGTGTGCGCGTGAGTGTGTGCCTATGTGTGTGTGCTAGTGTGTGTTTGCTGTGTGTTAACATTTGCACACATGTCGCCGACGCCATCGTCGTTGAGCATAAAAATAAACTTTACTTTTTGAGCAGCCCCAAGCGCCGCCAAGTATGCAATAATTATGGCATTAGCCAAGCGGGTAGCGTAACTATATCAAGCGCTTTGCAAGAGAGAGACTTAAGCTGCTCCTTCGGCAATAGGGCAGCTGAAGTAGTCAATAAAATACTCGCCGCCATCAATCAGTTGTAGACATCATCAAAATGAATTAATCCATGAAATTAAGAGAGTCTTACGATACCCTACAAACATCTTTTATTGCGCGAGATAAGTTTCGAGCTCTGTTGTTCACGGGAAACAAGCAAGAACATATTTGAGCGACAGTGAAGTGGTAAAGTAATTAATATTTATATACCCGCAGGGTATAGCGCAGTCGTGCATTATGATGGCACATTTCATTGGGTGTCCTCCTAATGCATTGCAATTGAAACGCTCGCTGCCTTGAGGCCTGCCTCAAATTGAGCGTAAGACAACACTTTTCGGCTGCTCATATCAATTGGCTGTACGCTCTCTCCCTCTCTCCCTTCCCGCCCCGCACCGCTTTCTACATATAAATGTGACAATTATATTGCCCGCGGTGGGGTGGCATAAATTTGTTGCCAACTCGAGGCAAGCAACATACGCCTGCTGAACTCGCTCCCCGACCTTTTTTTGGGGGCGTCGCAAATTTGTCGCATTTTGTTTGGCTGTCAAGTTTATGGCGTAATATTTTGCGGCCGTAAATACACGCCAAAAATGCTAATGACCCGCGCCAAGGGCAGCCGGGAAGGGGTACGATAGTGATAGCTAGATAGATGCACGGATATTTAGATGGATAGATAAATGGATAGATGGATGAATGGATAGTGTGACAGTTTGTCTTAGTTTTGTATTTCGATTTGGCCACAAAAAAAAAAAAACAAGTATTGATAAATGTTTTCGCCACACAGCGGAGCTGCTGGCACATCATATGTCAAATTTGGGCCTTGGCTATTATTCTTAGCTCTGCGATTGTGTATGTGTGTGTGTGTGGGAGGTGGATATATGAAAAACAAGTGAAAATAAGAAAAAAAAACAGAATTTTCCACACGCGAAGGTCAATGGAAAAGTGGCGCTTCAAACCGCTTACAGTCGCTGTATGTAGTTTTATTGCAGGCACTGTAGTTGTTGCCAACAATATCAACAACAACAATAACAACAACAATGAAAGAGTCCATGGAGATAACAAAGCGAAACATGACAAGGACAAGGCCTCCAACTGGCAAATGGCAATCCTCATGGCAGCAACTTAAAGCGTGTGTCTTCCTTGAATGTGTTTTTCAGTGTAATTATCAAATCAAATAATAATGGAACACCTTTAAAATTCCTTTTGACAAAAAAAAAACAATTTAAATTTCTAAACAAAGTTGCTTACTGCAGCACGCAATTAAATACCATATATGAATAAAAGGTAATGAATATATAATATTAAATGCGAAGCAAGAGTTAGGTAGTGCGAAACCTACCTCAGCCTATTTAGGCCCATAAGAAAGAGTATATCGAAGTCTACTCTAAGTTTAACATGAAGACTACTTTTATGCAATTGGAGTGAACAGGTAGTAATATTCCAGGCAATTAATTTTTCCTTTATCCGGAGCGGTTTAAATTTACATACTCTCTGTTCACAGAGTAGCTACCTCGATCTTACAATTTGAACCGATTAATCATCGAAACTCTCGAAAAGCTTAGTTATGATATCTGGGTTAAATGAAATTATTTATATTTTAGCAAAAATACTATACCAAATCAGCGTATAGCTTTCGACAAGATAACACACACACCGATAGATTAATGTTACTAGTTTTTTATTAATTATTAACTTATTATTTTGTAGTTCTAGATAATTTGCTAGTTTCCAGTATAGTCTCGACTCTGATTATTATTATTTTTATTTCCTGTGCTGTCGCTGCATGCAGCACAGAAATTGAAGTATACGCGCATCCTGTTCCGAGAGGTAATCGGAGACTATTTTGTAAATACGACTCTCGATTCTACTCAGCTCCTGGCTATTGTTATGCTTCGATTTCAAGGATATTTCCATTGTATTCTCCGAAATCCAGTTTTCATTGCTTAGTTTCTGTTTGACCGCCCGCAACAGGGACTTGGAATCATATGTGCGCATCCAAAACATGCACCCGTTGACGGGTTGGTTGCACTGTAAGTAAATATGTCGTGTTCCACTGTTGATCTGAATACTCTCGGCTCCGAAGGAATCCACAGAGCTCTCATCACTCCTCATATCTGCGGCATTACCCAAGACAAGTTCCGCCAAGCGCCTTTTACAGTCAGCATGAAAGTTAGCTCGATCACGTTGCGGTGGATTTGTTTTCATGAAGGAATACTCTTGTGGATCGCCAATAGCCAAGACCTCTGATTTGGCTGGCAGTAACTCAACGTTTTGATTGGTTTCTGTTACAATTTCCATTGTTTATTCGTTGCCTCTTTCAATAAACTTAAGTGTAAAAACAGCTGACAGTCTATACTGTTGAACTGACTCATTGCAAATCTCGAAAGCTTCACGGTTGTATTTGGATTTTAGCCGAAATACAATGCGTTCGTAAACAAAAATATAAAACATACACAGCTTAAAGCTTTCAAGGGCGCTTTTGGTCCAAAATTTTCGTTATAAAGGTGGCGAAATCGAAAGAGCTTTTTGCCAATCACAGAGTTCGTCTTTAGTTGGTTATTCAGCTGTTTTGGATCTGTAACTTTCGTACTGAAAAAAACAAGTTAAAAAAGACGAACATGGAACATAGGGAGGAAGGTACATTCAGCATTTTAATTAACCAAAAAAATATTATAGATTTTTGCATTATTTACGTATTACTAGAAGCCGCCACAATCACGTCCAAGACAAAAGTTTTGGCTATTGGAGACGGGAATGAAGAATACCCAAAGAACAAGCAGCTGCCAGCGAAAGACGATGTGCACTTTTTTCGGGAAGATTTTACAAAACGCTTGTGTCTTTTATTAACCGGAAATCCAACACCAATCCACGTTGTCAAGGATTGGGACTTGGTGCAAAGATTTGGAGCGGCCAGCATTAAGAAGGATAACCAACCCAGGCGTTATCATTTTGTTTGTGGGCGCGGTAACAGTTATTCGACTGGGGAGATTATTTCTGGGCCCGTTTTTAATGCAGTGGATGTTCTGAATATAGTTAAGAATCGACTGAAAGCGGAAAATTGGATATCAACGAATGTCATAGAAACACCGCTGAAAACAAAAGTTAGTCGTGCCCATGACCCATTCTACGGCTCCGATCAATACATTCAAGGAATCGTTTCTGATGCCCTTCATGCTGAAGATGTAAAACTCTTTAAATTCTTGCTATACTTACACCGAGAATCTATTCACAAGTAATTCTATTCGGGCATACCCTGTAAAACACGTAAAACTCTGTACTTTCAGGTAGTGCAGGCGCTGCCTTTACTTGTAATATAATTTTAAGTTAATTGTTTCTTAAATTCTAATTTCTTAAATAAAGTATTTTGTATTCTTTATTTTAACTAAGAGCTTTCTTTTGATCTCGTGTAATTGGAAAACATGTATGGTGAGGCCTACAAATATCGACTACATAAACAAAGGTCTCCTATTTTCCATTGTATGCCTGTCTTCGACATACATACACAGCTTCAGATCAGGCACTTATGTGTATGTATATGTATGTGCTTATGCCGGTAAGATTGAGACAACAGCTGTGCAAGACGTAAACAAAAACAGAGCTTACTACTCAAGCTTTTGCAGAGCTTTTCTGTGAAATGAATGGGATTTCGTCAGAGCTCTTTGGCAATCGCAAAGTGGGTTTTCGATCAACAGTCAGTTTGTCAGCTGTGCTGGAACTGTGGGCATCGCATAAGTAAACAAACAAATATATAAAAAATGGAAGAGTTTAATGCAGAAACTGACAAAGAGACGGGTAATTTAAAATAAAATAAAAACAATATTGAATATTTCTAAAATGCTTATGTACTTCCAGAAGTCGCTACAATCACGTGTAAGGCAAAAGTATTGGCGATCGGAGGTGAGGAATACTCAACGAAGAAGCCGCCTTCATTCAAATACGACGTGAATAATTTCAAAGAAGATTTTAGAAAGCATTTGTGTTTGCTATTAACTGGTAGTCGAAGAACTATAACAGTTGTCGAAGATTGGGATTTGGTGGAAAGATTTACTGCGGCGAGCATTAAGGAAGATAACCAACCCAGGCGCTATCACTTTTCTTGCCAGAAAGGTCACAGTTATCCAAGAGGCATGCTTATATCTGGTCCCACTTTTAATCCAATGGAAGTTATGGCTCTGGTGCGAAAACGACTGAAAAAGGAAAAGTGGATATCAAGAGATGTCATAGAAACGCCTCTGAAAACAAAAATTGGTGGCAAAAAAAACTACGGCTCCGATCAATACATTCAAGAGGTTGTTTTAGAGGCCCTTGGTGTGGAAATGAAGAGGACTTTTAAATTCGTGCAATATTTACAACATTCACACAGAGAATCCAATCGCAAGTAATTACTAATACGCAGTGCTGGCGCTGCCTTCTTATGGCTTGACAATACTTATACAAATATATAAAATAATAATATAAGATAGTTTAAAAAATAACAATTAGCTTTTCATTTGAGTAATCAGCATTTTTGTTTGTTGACGCTTGACACACTGAAAGCTTTCGAATGGCGTTACCTCAAGCTTTTTTTTAAAAAGCTTTTGGCAGAGTTGTGAAATTGTTATGAGTATTTCGCGTAGTGCTGCTTAAAAAAGTAGCGTCGTCTTGAAAGCTTCGCCAATCAAAAAGTTTACGTCAAGCAAATAGTTCGTCTTCTGTGGAACTGAAACATTTTAATACGGCAATAAAATGATACAATCGGAAACAACTGCGGAACACGATAATGTAAAAAGCGATACAAGTAAGATACAGTTTTTCATGCCGGCAATAAATAATAATACTTGAACATATTTCCAGCTGTGGCGACATTGACCTCGGAAGTCAAGGTATTGTCCATTGGTAATCGGAGGCGAAACTTCAGGTCTAAAAAAAAACCGGTGGTTAAGTTTGATATGAATGTTTTTCTTGACAACTGCAAGAAGCATTTTGGACTTCTTCTAATGGGAACTCGTACGCCCACAGAAGTGGCCATGAATTGGTCTATGATGCAATTTCTTGAAATGAAAAGAATCGAGGAGGATAATCAAGTAAAACGCTTTCAATTCTATTGCCATCCCAGTGGTAGGGATAGTGGTTATATGATGTATGGCCAGACAGTTAATGCCGAGGCAGTATTACACGATATAAGAAAGCGACTGAAGCAAGAAAATTGGACTTCAAAATATGTTTTAGAAATGCCTGTTAACGAAAATTGTTATAAGGGCTATAGATCTAAGGTTGATCAAATATTTGCTGAGGCCCTTGACGCTGAAAGGTACAGAATTTTTCAGTTTTTGTATTATTTACACAAAGAACATGTTAAAAAATGTTAGCAATGTGAAAAATTGCCTGTTCTTTTTTTTCAAAAATTATAAGGTTATTCGCTAAAGTTGTCATATGATGATTAGCTTTTAAATGTGATATTAATATGCATAAATTTTTTACTTAAGAAACAAAGCCTTAATATACGTTAGAGTATATCTTATTATAGATTCTGGCCTTCTACTTGATATTATCATTGTAAATATTGTACTACAATCTATATCTGACTGTAAAATGCTATTAATATGTAACAACAAAAGCATTAATAAACTAAAGGACGGCTGTAACAAATACATTTGTGCATAAATAGCCATATACACACACACATGTATATTTATATCTGTACAAATAAACAAACAACTTGCCAATATGTAAACAACGAGCAATGTACAAAAACGTGACTAACTTAAATTCATGAGAATCGGATAGAAGGGCAACACATATACCTCATTATTTCCTTTATTTTAGCATTTACATATATTTACATATATGTATGCTTACAGCCGACATACACCTCGATAAATAAATACACATTTATTTACATGTGTAACACATGCATTAGATTTAGCTGTTTTTTAACCAACTAATCAGGTTTTGTTTTGGTTCTTAGTAGTAATGATTTTGGTAGTCCAAAATAATTTCAAAATAGGACGAATAAAGAAGTTCTTGAAAAGGTCTAAATTATCAATAAGCTTTCGCTGAGCTTTCAGTAAATTTGTTGTGAAATTATAAGTATTTCGTTATGTTCAGTGTATAAATGCATCGCAAACAAGAGGCAGATATCTATCCCAAAGTACGCGCCAAGCAAATAACTAGTCAATCTATACTGTAATAATAATCAAAGAAACCGAAGCAATTATGGATAAAGATACGGCAGAAAGAGATACAAGTAAGATGAAACAAACAAAATAGTGAACTAAAATTTAAATTTAAATTCTTTGCAGCAGTGGCCACATTGACATTAAACACAAAGGTTTTGGCCATTGGAGGGCGCAAAGAAACTGGAAAGGAAAGAAAATCTGCTTTAGAATATGACAGGAATACTTTTCTTGGCGACTGCAAGAACTATTTGAGTCTACTTTTAATGGGAACTCGAATACCCATGGCCGTTGCCGATGATTCTACTGCAACGGAATGGTGTGGTGTGAAACCCATTATGGAGGGAAATCGAACCGTACGATATCAATTCTACTGTCATCGACCTCCAATAGGGCCAAGTCATTATATAATGTATTGCAAAACATTTAGTGCAAGCGCAACAATGCGCGAAATCAGAAAATTGCTGAAAGAGGAACGTTGGATATCAAAGTATGAGATAAAAGCTCCTATTAAAACAGCCTTTGATACTAGACACTATAATAGCGAGAATTACTTTGTTGATTGTATGGTTTATAGGGCCTGCAATGCTGAATGTGAGCGAATATTTGCATACCTGTTTAATTTACACAGGGAATATGTACAAAATAATCTATAGTTAAATTGATGTAAATATAATAAAAAAAAATATTGCTGATTAAATTTTTATAAACTACTCGATCCTCAAATCAAATGCATTAATGCATTTCAGTGTTTACGTATTTTAATTCCAATCTACAAATATGCCATACTATTCTAGGGTATGTTAATGCACATATGTGAGGTTGTTTTCTTAAAAGGCAAAAGACAAGCTTAGGTGAAAAATTGTTGTGTTTATTTAATTACTGATTTTTTGTTTGCATCTTGTTTGGGTGATTTGTTGTAGCGCGAATAAACAAAATTAATTTTCATATAATGTGCGATCTTATGCTATGCTGTATTTGTGTGTATTTGTGGTTGTGTTTTAATGTTTGGATCTATTAGATATAGAAATGTCAAACTTTAGCATAATATTCAAATATTAATCAGCTAAAAAATAATACTGTTCACAACGCCAATGGTATGAGAATTTAACAATTTTTTTTTAATAGAAAATTGATTGATTTAGACAATAAATATATAGAATAGATATATTTATGTTCATATAGAATTTATATTGCTGCACCATAACAACTAACATAAACAGCTAATATCTTTGTTTAACCTTAATCTAAGCACATAATCATTTCAATTTGGAACAAATTTGAACAACGCTGGGCGTAAAATAGGCGCTATTTGTAAATATTGTATATACTTATATGTATATCTAGGCACATATAAATGTGTATATATGTGTTTGTTTTGTAAATGCTGTCTATATGGTACTCGTAATTGTATGCACGTATAATCAACGCTAATTGCACTATTTATTATATTTTCTGTATGTTTGCTATGAATAACACTGGCGGCCAAAAATAAAGGCCCACTTTGAGATTAATATTAAATTAAAAGCAATCGTTTGTTCTTCAATATGTTTTCATCATACTTCTTCAAATAAATATATAATAAGTGTTTGTTGATTGAAGTCTACTATCCAGTTAAAAACTATACTAATATTATACAAATAATTATGTTTAATGCTTTCAAGAATTATAATTATATGTAGAACTTTTAATACAGAAAAAATAATATTGCTTCATTTTGAATACCAATCAAATACTGGCTCACGTTTTAACAACTTCAAACTGAAAACCTAGTTATTGCTAATCAAATACATAAGAAACATATTTTAATACAGTCGTGTGTTCAAGTAACAATCTATAGAATAGTTTCAAAGGTGTTTAGAACAATTCTTAGCTCAGAAGTTTTCCGTAAAAGACGCTTGCCTTAGCTTACAGTTCGAATACTTAAAATACTTTCTTTTCGCATATAATGAAGAATGTGTTTTCAATCAAAGTAAATAGAATACAATAATGATGATATAATGAACTCACCACTTTTGCTTCTGCTAAGTATCGTAAATGGCAGTTGAAATAGATTCTAACTAAATGAAATGCAACTGTTATTATTACAAGTTTAAGGCGCCAGTGAAAAGGTTGTTTATGGCTTGAAAATGCAGTTGCTAATATTTATGGTTTGCTGATTTATATTAGCGTATTTCAAGTTACTTTAGAAAAATGCGCAAGTCTTCGGTCTCGGTATATATAGGCATGGGGGGAGTGGGACACGGAAGGGGCCATCACTTGCGTGACAGCATTATATTTATGACTGTGCCGCAGTTAAGCAGGACACGTTTGGCATCGCTCAGATTGGCATTGGTCAGGTCATAGCCGTCGATCTCCAGTAGCTTATCGTTGAGGCTCAGCAGCCGCGCGGCATTTGAATTTGGCGTGATAGCACTAACAAAGATGCCCACCTAAATGGGAAATGAATGGTGTCAGAACGTTAAATACCCTAATTAAGATAATATAATAACCTGATTTAGCAGCTCGGCAATGTCGAAGCCAATGCTGTTTTCCCATTTGAGGGTCACCTGCTTGACAGTGGGATTTTTGTGCACACCAAATATCCAGGTTGACTTTTTAGTTCTGGATGTATTGTTGGTGGCCGTGGAATTCAATGAGTTCTGCGATAAGGTATCATCCGCATCCTGCAACTGCTGCTGCTCATCTTCAAGCTCAAGCTGCTGCTGCTCCTGTTGCTGCAATTCAAGTTGCTCCATGTTAATATTGTTCTGGTAGTCCAGCTCCTCCAATTGTGCACCAATTGCCGTTGTTTTGAAGTTGCTATTTAGCGCATCCTGGTAGCTGTTGCTCTGCTCGTAGAGCGGTTGTGTTGTTGGCTGTTGTTGCTGCTGCTGTTGTTGTTGTTCTTGTTGTTGTTGATGCTTGCGCTGTCGCATGGACTCGTAGAGCGTGAGATCTTCGGGCGTTTTCTTGGTATACACGCGTGCTATGTGATAGGGTGGCGGTTCCATGCGTGGTGGAGGCGCTGCTGGCTGCTGTTGTAGCGGTTGCAGCTCATAATTCTCTTCAGCTCCATTTGACAAATGCGTTGTAGGCAGCGGCAAGCTGTTGGCATCGACATAGAGTTGCTGGTAGTGCCCCTCGTAGTTGACAAGCGGCAAACCATAATATTCCTGTGTGGCCTGCTGCTGTGCCGGCTGGTAGACACCGTAGATGTGGGCCGCCTCGGGCGCAACGCCATATATTGCACTTGCCGTGGCATGATCCACAGCGTCCTGATTGTTATCACAGTGTGGCATGGCCACTTGGCCATTGGGCACCACGACACGCGCCTCTCGCACCTCGCTGGACCCCGATGCCGCCGCATTCGCCGCCTGCGCCTGACGCATATACTTGGCCATTTGGCGGAGCTCCTTTGGATACGGCGTGGGTGAACGCATCAAACGCACCGAGCTGCCGGCAGGCAGCTGCTCAGGAGTGGGCGGAGCTGTCACATAGCTGGCGGAGTAACTTGGAGCGGGCTGTGGTGCGCTGCTGGTGTTAGTGTTGGTACTGCCCGCACTCAGAATGGTCGCCTCCTCGGCAAAGCATATGCGCCGTGATGGGCTCGACGGGTGCTGTGGCTGCTGTTGATGATTCGCGTAGACAAACTCGTATTGGTCCTGGACCTGCTGTTGCTGCTGGGCCTGCATCTTGAACGTCACCTGCGGCAACATAAAGCACGTGAGCTGCGTCTTGCTGCTGGCATCCAAATACTGAAGTGGCACCAGCGGCTGCGATTGATTGTCGCTAAGCCACAGAGACGTGAGATTTACCAGGCTCAGCATGGAAACGGGCAGGGCATTGATATAGTTATTAACTACATTAAGCACCTTCAGTTTGGCTAAATGGCCTATATTTTGGGGCAACGCTGAGAGCTGATTGTTGGCCACGCTTAAGACACTCAATTGACTGCAGCTGCAGAGCTCGTCGGGCAGCTGGCGCAGCTGATTGTCGTCGGCGAAGAGGAAGCGCAGTTTGACCAGCGATCCAATTGTGCTGGGAAGGCGCATAAGCTTGTTGTGACTCAGCACCAGCTCTTCCAGCTGCTCCAGGTAGCTTATGCTGTCGGGCAGCTCGCTGAGCCCATTGGACTCACACTTAAACGTGACTAGCGACTTAAGCATGCCCACGCTAAATGGAAATGCCTCCAGATTATTGGAGCAGATTGACAAGACCTCCACGTTACGCCAATTGCTTAGCTCATTAGGCAGTGTGTCCAGCAAATTGCCATTGGCCTCAAAGTGTTGCAGTTCGCGCAGTTTGCCAATGTTGGGCGCAACACGACGAATTTGATTAAAATCGATCCACAGCTCGCGCAGTGACTTTAGTTCTCCAACGACCTCTGGCTACAATGAAAGCGGAATAAGGCTTTAATTTATGCAAATTAACTATATTACGCTTACCAGCTCGGTGAACTCATTGCCGCCAATATCAAGCCGCTGCAGGCTAACCAAACGCACCATCGACTTGGGCAGCGTTATGAGATTGTTGAGGCGCACCTCCAAAATTCGCAGGTTGACCAAACGACCAAAGTTTGCAGGCAGAAACTCCAGGTATGTTTCATTTAGCAGCAGCTCCTGCAGCGAAATAAGCGACGTAATCGCATCAGGCAAACGTTGCAGGCTGTTGCAGCTAAGATCCAAGTGGGTTAGATGTTTGCACGCCTTAATCTCCTCCGGCACATTGACAATAACTGCAAGGAACAGAAAATTAGAATTTTGTTTTTATGTAATTATCGTGCTTGGATGCGGCGACTAACGATTGCGGTTCAGATCGAGATGTTGCAATTGACGCAGCGAACCAATGGCCTGCGGTATGCTCTCCAGATTGTTGCTGTTCACCTGAAGGATGCGCAATCCCTGGCAGTAGAACAGCTGCGGCGGCAGTGTTTGTAGCTAAAAATAGAACATATATATATATAAGACATATATTAAATGTGTTTTATAACTAGCTGTTGCTTACCCGCGCATTGCTCAGATGCAGCTCCTCGAGGGTACGTTCGTGCTGCCACACCTCGGGAAAGGCATCCTGGAGCGGTGTATTGCTGTAGTCCAGCTTGTCGATGACCTCTTCACGTTTAAATTTGAAGCAAGGAAAGCATTTGGACAGCAGCGGCATTTTGCCAACGTTTCGTGTGCTTGTGTGTGTTTTATTGCTCTACGTTCGATATTAAGGCACGGCCGTTGTTATTGTTGTTGGTATAATTATTGTGGGCTACAAAAATACACATAAGCCATACACACACATACACATACATACAGAACTAAATAAGCGGTAAGCCAGGCGCATAACTTACCTATGAATCATCGCTGCTTCTGCTGCAGCAGCAGCACAAAGGCAGCGGCCGCATTGAACGCTGCTCCGTTACAATTTATTCGCATTTTGTTGGGCTTGTTATTGTTCCAACACTCGACGTACACACACACATACACACACACACAATGTATACGCACAAATACAAACAATAGGAGAGGTACGTCTGCTTGGGGCCGCTTGCTTTAGGCAGCCGGCACCTTGCAAACCTATGCGGTTGCTATGTTACGCTATTTTCACGTTGTGCCTGTATTTTGTGTTTATTTACGCACTCAAATTGGATTTTCTTTAATGTTTTTCGTGTTGAAGATGACAAGTTGCGAGTTGGCAGCAGTCACAGTGCACAGGAATGCAAAGCCAAATAAATATCGATGACTGTGTTTATGGTAATCGATATACACCTGCAATATCTTGGAGCGGCAGTGTTAATATGAATATCGGTTACTGTGCACTCCAGCTATTTTCCGCCAGATGTCGCTAGCGTGCAACCGTTAATATTTAAATTGCCAAAAAGTAATATTTATAAGCTATTGTTCAGTGGCTGTAGCTAATCGAATAGTGTTTGCTAGTAAATATTTGTTATTCACTTCCTGGCTGCGTAACGCTTTGCAAATATAGTAAATCACACGTGTCAACAAAGTGTTCAATAATGACGGAAGTGCAAATTGAGCGTTCCAAGCTTCATTGTAAACACATCAATGCAAGTTTTCGAGCAAGCCGCCAGTAAAAAAGAGCGAAAATAAATCAAAAAAAAAAAAAAAAAATAAAAGACAAAAACTCAAGACTTTGACCCAACCTCCCAAATGGACGACGCTCTAAGCGCTCGCAGTGCGAAAATTAAACAAATAGCGTCCACTTTTTGTTTCGTGTTGTGCCCGTCTCACGAATTTACACTTTAAACAATTATAAAATTGTACAGAGATGTGTAAATATGCGCATAATAAACATTGCCTTAGAGTTGTTTTTGGCTTTTGCACGAGACGAAAATTTACTAACAACTAAACGAGACAACGAAATCGTAAAATGCAACTGGCTTTTAGGAGCTCAGTTTTGTTTTCAATCTCGCGCACTGCAGTTGTGAATTGAAACGTCGTTTTAAAGTTCCATATTGACTATCGTGAGTCTAGGGAATGTTATTTAAAATAGTCTTACAATAGTTATGTGCCAGTGTATTTACTAATCAAACCAACTTTCAACTTAGTTTTTGAAACTATTTATAACAGTTTCCCTCACTAAAACAATAGCTTGTGTTCACAATAGATAAATATGGGTGTCAATTTAAATTTAAAATTAACGAGCAACTGTTACATTTCCCATGACAATAAATTACTTATGCAGTGCTATGTATAGACAATTTTATTTCAAATATTTAAGTGGGTCGCCACAAAATAACAGCTCATTGGATGGTTACACCCCGCTTTATTCACAATTAAAACCACCTGTCGCCGAGTTTAAATTTCATTGACGTAACCGCTACGCATAAAACATGACTCACACATGTGGAGAGTTGCTTGTTATACACACACACCCTACCTACCAGCCGCCACCCCCTTTTTTTCGGCCAGCCTGTGTTGTGAAACAACCAACCCCCGCGTAAACAAAAGCGCTGACAACACTAAGAGCGAGCGGGTGCTTGAAGAGAGCGCGCGCAGATTGAGAGAAACGGTTATGTATGCTAGCCTTATTTAATTGTGAGTTCGGTAAAATTAAAGAATTTAGTTTCCAGTGCTGTTAAATACGTAAATTTCATTCATTCCGGCCGTTTGGTTCAATTTCTGCATAACTTTGATCTTCAGGGACCTACTAATTAAGCAAGTTGCAATCGTCGCTCGTTTCATAGTTCCAACGCCTAAAATAAAATTCTATTCGAGTTTAATTATTCCAATCAACTGTATATTCACCTTGAATTAGAGCAGGTATTAAACGGCTTGACATGCCGGCTTTTGAATGTTCAATTACAATTGCGACCTTTTCCTGGACGTGTAATGAGCTGAAATTGTGATAAATTGACTTTAGAATATGTCCAGCTCGGAAAAAGTTTAATTACAATTGCTGAACAAGTTCTTGCTAAGATCGAACATATATTTTCCAAATACATCGTCGTCAAGTCAATCGGTTCTGCATCTTCAATACGCAAGGCGTATTTTCCTTGATTCTATTACTATATTAAATGGATATAAAAATGTATATAAATAATATACAATATATATACTATATACCTTGTAAATTTTTAAAGTCCTCAAATATTTTTTGTGTTTATCATTTGTCCAGTCAATTCTTTGGTTTGTTTTAATCCTTCTTGCTTTTGGATTTTGACTTGCTCTTGGTTCTGCTCTTCTTCGCCTCCTTTTCAGCAGCTTTGGTAGCATCTGCTGGTGTACCCTCCGGGCTAGTCGCTTCCGATTCGTTGGCAACCGGCGTGGAGGAGTTAGCTGATTTTTTGGAAGAGCTTCGCTTTTTGCCTGGCATGATTACACTTTATCCAAAGAACACGAAACGAAATTTACATAAATTTTGAAACTTTTTGGAAAAAAAAATTTGGACAGGCCAAATTGAGAGTAGCTCACAAACTGCTAAAATGAAATGAATTTTATACGAAAACGTAGATGTGCAGTCGAAATTCATCGATTGCTCAGTTTTAATTTTTTTTTTTTTTAATATTCAAATACCGAATATATTTCAGTTTCGTACCTCAGCCGAAACCGTTTTGCAAACGGGCGACAACCGATTCGCTCTGCCCCATCCCCCAAAGCACAGTGCGTGCCCTGGGGGCTGCTCTCTCTCTCGCGGCGCGGCGCACTCTCATCGGGCCTGGCAGTCGTGGTAGAGATATTGAAACCAAAGCGCGTGCAGCAGCTGCCGCCGAGTTGTTTTTTTTTAGTGAAATTTCTATTTTAATTTAGTTTTTAGCGCAAAGTACAAGCAAATAGAAACCAAGTATTATGAGCCAACATCTCAATATTTAACCAAACAAATAGCAAATTGAATGTGATTGCATCCCAGTTGCCGTAGCAGGCCAAGTATTTGTTTCATCTGACGACAGCAAATCCCAAAAGCGAAACAAAAACAAAAAAAAAAAAAAAAATAACAAAACAAATTATCGATTTTTGCGCTCAACGGGCTGTGCAATATAATTAAATACCAGCCAAAATTGTGTTTCCCCCTCTAAACAAATCGCACAATTACCAAGCTCCACTGTACAACGAAATGGCAGCCAAGCGAAATGCTGTGACCACACAAGTCCCGGAGCCACCCCCGGAGGGTACATCTCTGGCGCTGGACACGCGACTCTCGCGGCACGTGGAGAGCGTAATACCCAAGAAGCGGTGAGTGTATATATGTCACAGCTGTCATTCCAACTGATGTTTCACTGTTTCACTTTAGCCAGGAGGCGCTCAAGTGGTACGGCTGGGGCTACAACGATTCCCAGTTCTATGGACAGCAGGGCATCATCTGCTTTAAAGGCGACAAGTAAGTATTAGAATCTGCCTTGTGGGCGACTTATTCATACGCTAAGAGTCATGTTAATAATTAAATTAGTAGCTATCAAATTCAAAAGTAAAGTGTATAATAGTTTATGCAAATTGGAGCTCTATCTCTGAGTTTCGGCTTGATACACTTGAACAGGCTGGATCTTTAAATGCATATATATTTATTTTTTTTTTAAATTTATATTTTTAAAACTAGCTCTTTAAGTTAAATGCAAACACAATATTCCTATCTATTCAATTTGATTGAGTATTGTATCCAAGGTTGCAAGCTGGTTCGAATCTGCCATATCACTGTCACTTAAAGAGCCGAACCAAATTCCTAATTGCTGAATTTAGTTAAATTATCTTGAAAAACCAACAATTAATTAGTTCTGTTGAAATACCTTGAGCAAAAAGTTCCAACATTATGATTATTGGGTTGTAAAAAAAAAAATGATATGAAAAGGATTTTTAAGCAATATAATATAATAGATAAAAAATATTCGAATCCATCTATTTGGCAATTGATTCGTTTCGGCAAACTAAAAAAACGAAAATTTGAATTAGTTTTGGCCAATCGATATTTATCGATTTTTGTGTTTGCAATTTCAGATACCCGCTAGCCGGCTGTGAATTACCCAATTTTACGAAGTGGGTGAGAAGTAAATTCGATCTGCACGTGGATCACACCAATGCATACCCACAGCTGCCGCCGACGTACCCGGCGCCAGTCGCGAATGCGCCCTTCCTGAACGAGCTGCGCGGCTGCACCAAAGTGGAGCACTCGCAGGAGGGCGTCGACCGGCTGGTACGGTGTCACGGCCAGACGCTGCATGACATCTACAGCCTGTGGCACAACAAGTTCCGGCGCATACCGGATCTGGTAGTGTGGCCGCGCTGCCACGACGAGGTGGTGCAGCTGGTGAGGCTGGCGCACAAGCACAATGTGATGCTGTTGCCCTTTGGGGGCGGGACGAGCGTTTCGGGTGCCATCACCTGTCCGCAGGAGGAGCAGCGCATGATTTGTGTACTGGACACGTCGCAAATGAATCGCCTGCTGTGGCTCAATCGCGAGAATCTCACCGTCTGCTTCGAGTCGGGCGTGGTCGGTCAGGATCTTGAGCGAGTGCTGCGCGAACAGGGTCTCACCGTGGGCCACGAGCCGGACTCGTATGAGTTCAGCACGCTCGGTGGCTGGGTGGCCACGCGCGCCTCCGGCATGAAGAAGAACGTATACGGTAACATCGAGGATCTGGTAGTGCGTGTGCGCATGGTGACGCCCGCGGGCACACTGGAGCGAGAGTGCAGCGCGCCGCGCGTGAGCTGTGGCCCGGACTTCAATCACATCATACTCGGCTCCGAGGGCACGCTGGGCGTCATCACTGAGGTCGTGCTCAAGGTGCGTCCGCTGCCGCCAGTGCAGCGTTATGGTTCCTTGGTGTTCCCCGACTTTGAGCAGGGCGTGCTCTTTATGCGCGAGGTGGCCCGACGACGCTGCCAGCCCGCCTCGGTCCGTCTGATGGACAATGAGCAGTTCCTATTCGGTCAGGCGCTCAAGCCCGAAAAGAGCTGGCTGGCCAGCTGCCTGGATGCAGTCAAACAGCGCTATGTGACCGTGTGGAAGGGCATTGATCTGGCGCACATATGCGCCGCCACGCTGCTCTTCGAGGGCGAACAGAAGGATGTGCAGCGTCAGGAGGCGGTCATCTATGAAATCGCCGCACGTTACAAGGGATTTCCGGCAGGTGGTCAGAACGGCGAGCGTGGCTATTTATTCACCTTTGTCATCGCATACATCAGGGTGAGTGTAGTCCCCGAACAAATACCAAATTCAATTCAATGGGAGGGCGAGAAATTTAACTATTTATAACAGATGCTCATATATAGGGTAAATGTCATATGTACATACTAAATATCTTGTATATATCGAGTTTCTCATTGGGATGATATACCCTTTTTGGTCAATCCGTAAGCGGATTGAGATATCATCGAGTCTCTGATATTAGTTGCGACTGCAAGAAGATCGCCAAATTAACGCTTAGCAAGTAAAAAACGTAACGCAAATTTATTTGTTCTTTTATAAATATTTACCCTAAGTCGCCTTTGCCAGTTGCGAGTCTTCCAAAGTGCCGCCTTTCCGGCGGTAAATATTATGAAGCAACTTAAAATGTTTGCCAGGTGGTCACTTATTTATTAACTATGCGAAATGTGTGATGTGAGTTTAATTAATTATTGCCTTAATAGCTGTTGTTTTCAAATCGTTCGTAGCATTTTAGCTGTGCAGTAGTCTGTTAATGGATTCATTGGGTCTTGACATCTCCGATTCCATTAGGTACACGTACAATTTTGATAGGCATCAACAGTCGAGTCGATAAATTAGTCTCACGAAACTTTGGTTCTGCTCTTCTATGGCAGGCTGTATAAAGATCCGAGTCGGCCGGATCGGCCCACTATATCATGCAGAGGCAGATGTGTGAGTATTGAGTATTGAATATTTGGCGTGTTAATTCTTGCTCCTTTTTTATTACAATGTTTGAGATTAGGCACAGGCATTATTAAAATTTTTTTTAAATGTGTCGCATATAAATATATATTAAAACATGATAGAAATGAATATACATTATATTTATTATATATAGATATATATATAAATGAATAAAGCAATTGCCTGATCAAAAAATCTTCTCTGCTAGCCTCATAAATTAAGCTCCTTTGCTTTATTTTCAGGACTTTGCACTTCATCAAGGCATTGTGGCTGAATCGTTTGAGACGTCTGTACCCTGGGATCGCTGCAGTTTGTTGTGTCGCTGTGTGAAACGACGCGTCGTTTCGGTTAGTAGAAAAATCAATTTTGCAAAAATAATAATTATAAAGCGAACTTTGTATTAATTTGCCTGCAGGAATGCGCCAGACACAACATTTCGCACTACACCATCTCGGCGCGAGTGACACAGACCTACGATGCGGGGGCATGCATATACTTTTACTTTGGTTTCCGCTATTTGAACATACCCAATCCGGTTGAGGTATTCGAGGCCATTGAGCACAGTGCACGCGAGGAGATCTTGGCCTGCGGTGGCTCCCTGTCGCATCACCATGGTGTGGGCAAAATACGCAGCCATTGGTATCGCAATGCGGTCACCGAGACGGGCAGCTCGCTCTACACCGCTGCCAAGCAGCATTTGGATCCTCGCAACATCTTTGCGGCGGGGAATCTGCTGCCACCGCAGGAACAGTTGCAGCTGGCAGAGAAGCTGGAGAAACCACCGCAGCTGCAAGCAGCAGCAACAGCAACAGCAGCAGCAGCTGCTCTGAAAGCCAAACTCTAGAGCCACTTACTATATATCTATATAATATATATCTATAGAAATACTAGTCTAAATCTAAAATACCTTTAACTGATTTCTAGCTGCTTTGAACCTTGGCAATTTTAGTGGGGCTCATTTTTGTATGGGTGTTACAGTTTTGATAAATAAATGGAATATTTGTAAAACCAAATGACTCCGCATTAACACTCTATCCACGCATGTCTGATGACAGCCTGGACAGTCTGCAGATTGGTTTGCCATGCCCCTCACTCCCTATGCTGTTGGTGGTCTCCGAACGGGGTCTCTTGTCTGCCGCCAGACCACAAAATGCAGCAGACTTCAACTCGACTTCAGCTCGACTTGGAGGCTGGTGTCAGTATCGGCGCATAAGCCCTAAGGAAATGTGCATAAGAGTATCTGTGGACTGTGTAGGGCGCATGAATTAGATAGAACTGAACTGAAGCATGTTTAAGTTCATACAATTTATTTATTTTGGCAAAGAGCTTAGCAAATGTTCGACAATCAATTAATCAATTAAGAAAACGTTCTCTTTTTACTTTAGATACTTATTAAAGAAACCATTTTCCTTATTGATTAATCGACTGTAAAACGATGTTTTACTTAATTAATTAAGAATCGAAAATCACTGCAAAATAATACTTTTTTATAATAAAAATTAATTTTGGAATTTTTGTATTTTTAAATCTATTTTCTGCACAAAATCGATGCCCGTTGGCCAAAGTTATGAGCCCAAATGCAAATATGATTAATGATCTCCTTATATAAAATTCGTTGTTTTTTTTGCCTAAGCAAAGTTATTGCCAAGTTGAGTGCACCTTTCTTGCAGCGACCTGTTTTACTGTGCTTCGTTCACACAAGGATTTACAATGTAGCGCACCCTGCTGTGTCTGTGCAATCCAGTCACAGGCTCCAACTCCAATTGCGACTCCAACCTGAATCCAATCTGCATGCGCTGTGAGCGTGGCTAGACCAAAATCAAACCAACTGACCGTCGGATCGTCTGATTTTCTGAGCGTCTCATCTGATCATCGCGCTGTCATTTGCGGTTTGCCTTTGCTTAGGCCTTGTGCCTGTCGGCATTCCTGTTGTTGTTGTTGTTGTTGTTGCTATCGTTCAAGTCCAGAGATCAAATGTCATCAAGTTGTCAACTTCGTTAGCTTGCCAATGGCAACAATGACAACAACAACAACAACAACGACTTGCAAATCTCTTTCGGCCAGCTCCTTGCGCTCGTTAATAGGCGAATGGGGCGAATGGGAATGGGGCGCATGCGCAGCCGGCAGCTGCTTATTGATGATCGTCGTCGGACTGTCTTGTCTTGTTACCGTGCCAATGCCAAATGGTAGTTACTCCCCAAAAGAGTTTGAGCACGCACACACAGATACACACACGCACGCATACAAGGCCTATAAATAAAGATTAAAATCGGAGAAGTGTGCAAAACTTAAACCTGGCCAGGTCTCTCTAAGCCGTTTAAGTTTTATTTTTCTTCTTCTTCTTCTCTTTTTTTGGCTGCCAGCCTTTGAAAATTGTCAGCAATTAACCCTTGGGTCAGTCTCTAGTCTTCGGAGTCAGTTTCTTTCTTCTCACTTTGGCATCGCTTGCGGTCCTGTGATTTATGCCACAAAGTGCCTTAAAGTCAAACACAATCAAGTCGGCAAATTTATGGCACAGTCCACAGTCGCAGTCCCGGTTTCTGTTTCAGTCCTGCGCCAAGAGGCACGTTTTCCAGACCCTGCCGGGAGATACATATTCATTCATACTCATAATGGCCATTCACATTGTGCACTGTCACATTACTCAGCCTCCGGTTCGTTCTGGTACCTTGTGCTGTTTGTTTTGACGAACATCTTCCCGAAACCTTGAAATATGCGGACGTGCAACGCACGTAGAGTCCCGGCTCTGTCTACCTGAGTGCCAGGTCAACTCTCATTAGCATAGGTACGCGAGAGAGCGAGCCTTATAGATCAAAAGTATGCTGCTAGTTTATTCCTTAGAAAAATTCTGAATAGCTGATTTCTATATCTAAGAAGAATTTTATGTTGTTTTTTGTTATTCATATTAGAGTCTTGTAAAGCAATACATGAAAATCTATAAAAACTTCGATTTAATGTTAAACATTTAATATCTATTGCAATCGATTTGAATATCTATTAAAGACATTCTTACTTAAGATTTAATAAAGTAAAGTGAAACAGTTTGCTAGTTTATTAAAAAGCCTAGAAAACGGTCTGGCTTTTAAAAAATGTGTTAATTAATTATCTGAATATAATATTCAGTGCATCTTCTATACCCTGCACATTATATGTATGTGTATTCCCTTCATAGCCCACTTTAGTTTTTGCCGCATCCAAAAGATATTGTTATGAATGCCCCTTTTAAATCTCAGTTTACATGTCGTCGCTGCTTTCCCAGTCGAATCCTGCGACATGCACATCCAGATATATATGTCCATTAAGACCCAACTGGACCACTTTGCAACAGCTGAAAGATCATTCATGATTCATGTTTCTGCAGCTGGTGTTCTATTACCTGCTCTGTTATGCAAAGGTGTTGAGCTGGCTAGAATCGACTAACCAATGTCCTATCTTACTCCTTCTGAACTATTCTGCTAAATTTATTTAATTTGGTTTAGGTTTTGCTAAAATACATTATTTTAAATCAAAGCTTTATTTGCATTCATTTTATAATGTGCTGTACAAGCAACTTGCACCATATTTCTTTAAGTGTAGTCTGCCTTACTCGCCGTGTAACACGGCGCATGCACAGGCAAACGGGCAATAGGCAATAACAAGCAACAACAACAACAGCAAGCCAGTTAACCCATTGAAGCCTACAACACAGCCGCAATACAGACACAACTGCGCTCTGCCGAGCCGCTGCTTACTGTGGCAGCGCGCGCCCAAGCTGCGGCTGCGGCTCAGTTGCTGTCGCACCTGGCGCTCAGTTGTGGGCAGCGCGGCGAGCTAACAACAACGGCAAACAAAACGCAAACGCAATCGCGACGTGCTCAGAATTTTGTTATTGTTTTCGTTTTTCTCGTTCGCCGAGTTAGAACTTTATGTGGAGCTCACCTGGGCGCCGTCGTTAGCGTCGCAACGCGGAAAAGGCGAGAGAGCGCAGCTGAAGAGATACGAGAACACAAGGAGTCGCCGTATGAGCGGGCGAGAGCGCGGGAGTGAGTGCGTATGTGTATGTGTGTATGTGTGTGAGTGTGTGAGAGATCAAGATCTACTACAGACAGCAGCTAGCTGCAGCTTCTCGTAGCCTGGCTGCAGCAGTTACGATTCGTGCGCGTCGCTTGCAACATCAAATTGTTTTTTCGGTTTCCGTTTCGGTTTCGAATTGCTGTGTTTTGTTGTGTTGTGTTGTGCTGCGCGCGTGTGTGTGGGAAAAAATGCAACAAATATGTGTGTCCATTAGCTGGAAACGTTTTGGCGCTTGTAATTGGCGGCAGCTGCTTTTGTTTAGCCTTTAAGAGCAACCAACAGTGAAACAGGTGCGTCGACGCATGAAAACCAATAAAAAAATAATATAAATTAAAACTAAAAACTGAAAGAATCAAATGCGCATTACAAATGTAGCTCTAAAACGGGTAGAGTTAAGATCAAAATAAAATCTCAAAAAAACAAACGATTAAATCATTAAAAATGCATTACAAACTATAATCAAACGGAAATTCTCAGATCTACCTTCTCGCAGTGGTCAAACAGTCAGTCAGAACACCTGCAATGACTGGTCAAAATTTACCAGCCACATCATGCATTTAACTTGAAGATGCGCCGCACTTTTGTGATCTGCCCCTAGAGCGTAGCCTCGACTGGTTCCGTACTGACTCATTAAAGCAATTCGCACTAAAAACAAACCTACGCCATTTTCAAGTGTTTTATATCATGTGCTTTAAAGTTTTTTACGACCAGCCCGTAAAGCCAAAATCACAAACCCATAAACTTTTGCTTGGTTTGGTTTTGCATCAGAATATCGTTCATTCTACCTTATTGCTATCAGACACTTGGACTTGGACTTGGCTCAAAAGAATTGCCTGAATTGGCCATTCACAGCTGAGCCACCAACGCAAAATACTTGATTTAATGTTTCGGCTTATGGTTTCATTGTGTGGGCTGATTTCGCCTGTCTAACTTACGGACCCAGCTATTAAGCGGAGAAACCTTGCTTAAATCTTTGTTAATCAAATTTTAATTGTTGTAATTGAAACATTTTTCGCATACTTCCACTGAGTGTGGGTTTGCCGTTTGTGGGGTTTTTATTTGAGTTGCAGAAAATTATGCATATAAAATATAAAACAAATGTGGAGCATGGATTTATTAAGTAGCAAAATGTAGCATACTATATTACTAGCCTCTAAAATCTGGGCGATAGAATTTATAAATATTCTACAGACTGTTTTTTGAATTATCTGCGCTATATTTCGAGACTACAAGAAATAAAATGTTGATCTAGATACATATGTAGTCTAGCGATTTCGAATTTTAATTTAGTTTTATTAAAGTCTTTATCTGACAGCTACATTTATAATTTGTTGAATTCCGGGTAGGTAAATAGATTCAATACCAATTATATAGTTTGTTTTAGATTTAATACTATACCAGACTTAAGAAAATTTTGTCTAAGACTCTACATATATAATTTTATGTGTTGCTTATTGCAGGTATTATAAATTAATATTAGGTTGCTCTATGTTGTTTTATAAAAACTTTTTAAGTTTTCTTCATGTCTTGAAAGTTATATAGCTCCATTGTCAGCCGCATGAGTTGATGATATGTATGCTCATGTCTTTGAAGTCATATGCAGTCCGTAACCTAAGTAATTTATCTAATAGATACTTGAACTGCTCATCAAGCTGACATAAAACAAATGTTAGGCTTAAAGCTGCCTGCTCAGCATAACGAAACATGAGCAGCAATAACCACAACAATCACTATAACAACTTTACATTTGCAGTGAACTACGGCGACAGCAGCAACAGCAACAACAACAACAACAACAACAACAGCAGCAGCTACAACAGCAGCAGCTGGAGGCAAATGCAGTCAAGGTGCGCTTAATTAACATGCAACTGGCAACTGGCAAGCTACAACAACAAGTTAACGACAACAGCACGTCAAAGAGTGCAATCGAAGATATCAAAAGAAACTAAAATTGCCGGTAGACAGCAGCAACAACAATAGCGACAGCAACAGCAACAGCAACATCAACGTCGTCGCGCTGTCTAACAAAAGTTCACCAATCAGTCAAAAGTAAAAGATGAGTTGCCCAGCTGTGGTAAGGCCTTGCCCTGGAGCTGCTAATTAAAGCGCACAAGAGCAACAATTGCAACATCGATAGCAATAGCAAAGACAAAATCAGCGACAACAGCAACACCAACAACTGGCAACAGCAACATCAACTGGCAACAGCAACATGTAAGTGGCAACATGGCATTTGACTTTCTTTCAGGCTGCCATCAACAGCAACAGCAGCAGCAGCAAATGTTGGTGACTTTCTAAGCCAGTTGCCAATTTGGTGCAATGGCAGGCGGCAGTTTTGGCAACTTGCAACTGGCAACTGGCAACTTGCAACTGGTAACAGCCATTGCCAGCTCCCGACAATTGTTTGCCGGGGCACTTGGGGGACCATTGGCGACTGGGTCGCGTGTTTGACACAAATGCCGCGCATAGTTTTGAAGGCGGTTCGGAGCAACTGCGCCTTATGGTCAAAACCAGCAAACAGTTTTATGAACAGACACACAAACCCAAGAACACACACACACACACACATACATATATACATATAAATAAGCATCGGCAGATACCGCTTCCTGCGCTGATTGCATTTTAATAAGCCAGCCCGCGTATCTCAGAGATACTTTAGCGGTCGGGCAAAATGTTGCATGTTTGCTTAAGTAGCCGACGTTGAAAACAACAAAAAATAATAAGCAAAAAGCTGGCACGCAAACAATGTGAAGACAAAATGCGGTTTGTTATGCTGGGGCGGCGGGGGGCACGAATCGCGTGCCAATGCCCATACCATGGGTCACAATGGGTTAAGCTGCCACATAAAATATGTTGAAGCTGCAAAAGGTCCACGGGGCAACAAAATAATTTATTAGCAAATTCTGCCAAGATCCTATCTCCAAGCACGAAGCCAAAGAAAGCCCAAAGTATTGTAAAATGAATAGATATGTTTACTCTTCTCATATTATATCAAACACTTTTTGAACTTGTTTCTATAACATTTCAATAGGCTTCTTACATTTGTTTGAAACAATTTTTGTCTACTTTTTATATTAGTTGGGTTAAAATGTTTATGAGGCCCACGAAATAATTTCCCTTTCTCATGCGGAAATACTATATCGTTTTTCTTTATGCAACATTCTTATGTTATCTAATCAGGTCCCAATGGGTAGGGTTTGATGTATGCGAAATTAAAAAAAAATTAAAATATTATTTGAAAATTCAAAACGATGCAAATAAAATCATAAAAATGCTTCCGGCCCACTGTAAATCGCATTTTATCCCATTGAATGGCGGCGTCGACGGCGGCTACTTTGATGCAAAGATCTCAGGCCTTAGTTTCGACTTGGAGTATTGGTTTTTGAGCTCAGTTATTTGGCAATTTGTCGATCGCACATTACGAGTAAAAGAGTTTTTTTTTTTTTTTTTCTGGCGTGTGAGCTGTTTGGCATAGTTTTCAAAAAGTATCTTTTATAAGCTGTGCGGCTGGCGTTGCACATTGCCTGAGTTGCTTAGCTTTTAATAGGCTTAAAGTGGTTGGGCAATGAATGCAGCGGCTCGTCTGTGCGGCCGTTCGCTTATCCATCAGACCATTCACAGGCCATTTGCCACGCCTCGTACAACTAAATTAACAAACAACAGCGAGAACAACAACAACGATAACAACGGCAGCGACTGGTGACCCTCAAGCAGGAGTCTTTCCTCAAATGAACTTGGCTAACAAAAAAAACAAACAAACACAAAATCATAAACAAGCAGCCAATAAATGTTCGACAGTGCAAAAAGGCCATAATAATAAAATTAAATAAGACACAAAAAAAAAACTTTAAGTTTAATGTGAACAAATTTGTGCGCTAGTCAACTCACAACAGCAACAACAACAAATGCTGCAGCAGTGGCTGCCACTTTTTATGTTGTTTTTTTCGTGGCCACTTAATTTTTTGTTAGTGCCAGTCATTAGCCAAAATATGAACACCAAAGCGGCGGCGTCTCAAGCACAGTACTCACTAGTCTGGAGTAAAAACAGCTTTTGCATGTTTGTCAGCTACAAATTTATGCGGGTATTACAAGCATAGCAAGTTCGTTGGATAGTGTAGAAAATAGTTTGACTGGGTTATCGCGGTATCCGGGCCCAGTTTGTCCTCCAAATAATATCAAAATGGATTTATTTTAATGACGTAGTGGGCTGCGCGTTCGGTTTTTTCCAGAACCCAAAATATTGAGAAATAAGCATCTCGAGATCATTAAAATTAACATAGAAATGAGGGACGAACAGGAAGCATGACAATTTGGTCTACTAAAAGACTGTAATATACTGGAATAAGGCACATTTTGACCTAATTGAAATAACATTTTCTACGTTATGTTTGTATGCCCTGTAGAGATTATTATAATTTTGTCATGAAGAGAGAAACACATAGAAGGAGACAACTCTGACCCCATAAGATGTATTAATTCCAGATCAGCCTCAACAGCCAAGTTGATTTAGCTATATCCTTCTGTTCGTCTGCCTGTTTCTATGCGAAGAAGTCTTTCAGTTTCTTTTCTAGGATATTTTCATCAAATTCAGCATTTACGAGCTTCACTTTTCTCAAATATATCTGCAAAGGGGAAATGTGTGCAAATTGTCGGAGTCTCGAAGATGTCCTTTCTAGTTTAAATTTATAATAATAGCATTAATAGTATCGAGCATTACATTAAAAACCGTCTAACAGAGAAACTATAAATTTAACTTGATTAATACTCGAACACATACTTTGCTCAAAAATACGACAGAGAATCGTTCGGCGAGCAATGTATTTTGATCTAAACAACTTTTTGTTGATAAAAATAAAAAACTACTTAAAATTTGATTACTCTTACCTCATACTTGGTCTCGATGACTTAAAGAGGATCGGGTGTCGGGATAGAATTTATAAGTGTCAGCTGCAGCTAAATAATATATAAATCAACTAAATTGTTTTGTGGTTTGTAGAAAAAAGAAAAGGGAAATTAAATTAGTTTATGGTAATTGTGTTGTTAGAAACAAAACTTTATAGCATACAGCTGCGTATGCATGCTCAGTAAGCCAATACCAAATTGGTAAAAGTTAATTCAAGACATTTCGTTTATAAGATACCATTTTATTTCTTTAAAATACAATAATATCACGTTCAACGCAAGAGCCGTATAAGGCGATGCGTTTATGGTTATTGAGTATCATGTGTCTCAGAGCTTATCTAAATGCACACGTTTTTCTAATCAATTAACTGAAATCTGAGGCAAGTTGCAACGCACTGTGCGGTTTTCTAATATCCCAGCCAAGTTCCACAAAAAAAGCGAGGCAACAACAAAAGCCAAAGTTGCGCGAGTCGTGTCAAAAAATTGCTTTGTATTTTATTATATTTTTTCTTTGATTTTTTTTTGTTGTTGCTGCATTGTTTGAGCGATTTGTTTGAATTTCGCCGACCGGCGACGATTGGAAACTTGGGGAGATGTCTCGCCAGTGCATGGCTCCAATGGGCTACGGAGTCCGGAGGTTGGGCAACCAGCTCTAACTCTGTGTGGCTCGGCTCGGCTTGGCATTTTATCCAGTCACGCTGCAAGTTATTTGCGTCGTGCTCAAGAAGTGCTCTGTTCTCTGTTATTATGCCAGCCGGTTCCATCATCAGTGCCATCGTGAGGAATAACGCTTGCCTTTGCAGTTTTGGCCCTGGTAACCGGAGCTTTCATTGTGATTTATGCAGTTGGCAACAGAAACTGTTGCGGTGGCCCTAACAAACGGGTACTTTGGGCTAGTTAAGTTGTTTGCCCAACTATTTGTTTGGTTTGAGCAATAATAATGAAAAAGCAATGAATAATAACAATGAAATCTATTGGGAAAAATTATGACAGTTACAGGTTCATGGTCTAATGACCTTTCCCTAATATACATGTTTGATCTTATTTATTTATTAAGCTATTCATCTTCTGCTCTTTGATGAACAATTTTTGTATTGTTACTGATCAAAATCAAGCGATTGCCATTAGAGAATAAGGCACATAATAAGCGTCACTGATCGCTTTGCAGCACTGGCATAGAGTGTTGCAAAATCGACTTTTCACTTAATTTTTTTTGCGCATTTCTGGCTGATTTAGTTTTGTATGCTTATAAGATATGATATCCATAATGGTTTAACTCGATGCTGCACTTGTTGAATTTTGATATGTTGTGGGAAAGTTGTTAAATGGGTTCCCAATTATTCGTGGAGCTTGCACATTTTTGTGGCAACAGCTGCGGCTGCAGAATCGTCAGAACATGCCAAAATTCATGCATAAATATTGATTGACAGCTGACAATCTCATTTCGTATGCAGCAGCTGTTTGAGATTGTGGTTTTCGGAACGTCCCCCTCCAACGTTGGCTGCCAGCAATTTGCAAGTAATTCAAGTCGAGTTTTGGATGAATGAAATCAGCGCAGCCCGTTGCCGGCAGCCTTGGAGACAACTTCCGTTGTTTGACAGCGAGTGAGTGCCAATTGTGAGAGCCAACTTGTTGACTGTTTGTCTATTGTGTCGGATATGTCGGCATCGTACGCCCGGCTTCAGCTTAATGTCCAATTTAATTTGTACACTTCAGCGTTGCCACATTGAAGGTTGTGGCCCATTGTCGTGAAATTTTGCTCAATGTAATGAGCACTCGTAATCATAATGGCATAATTATAATGCCTGGAGGGCAATTGAAATTTGCAGGCGTGATTTCAAGTGTTGAACCAAAAATTACTTCATTTCGCTTGTGGCACTTGTGGCTTTTATGTCTTGCGGTCAAGTGGCTGATGATGATTATGTTCGAAGTGTTTGCATGCACTTTAAAGCTATAGAGGTACTAGATTTTAAAGAAGTATCTATTGCGGTGCCATTAAATTATTATTAAGTTAAGAGCCAAAACTTTTAAAAAAGGTTGTAGTCTATAACAATACCGAGCTACGAAGTTTCCTTTTTTTTTCGAAAACGAACCGAAGCGTAAACCAAGCCCAAAAACACAAAGCGAGCAACATTAAATAAAAAACTAAATGGTTTTCTATAAATTTAAAAAAATATTATACCTCAAACTATTTAACTTATTGGGACCACAGGCCGAACCACTATTTTCATAGTATTTGCAGCCCTGGCAGAGTAAGCAAAACCCAGCTGGTGATATTATTCAGTAATCCCTTTGTCCTACGCCTCTGCCCCAAACAGGTTTCGGGCTTACTGTGAAATGTCAACAGCGTTCTACGTGTTCACAACTCATTATTTACACTCCACATAGTTGCTATTTTTGGGCTATCGAATTTCAGTTTTGTGTTTTGTTCTCACTGGCTCGTTTGCATATGACACAAATACGATTTCGAAATTCCACAACAGCAAAACAAAATTATGTTTCCTATGACCAAAGCCGACTGGCGTTTAAAATGTTTACTAGTTGTCACCATCTCGAGCCGATTCGTTTGGCCTCCAAATATTTGCATACATATTCGGCCTTTAGAAACGTTCCACCTGCTCAACAAGCCTGGCTTAGGTGAAGCTGGCAATTGCGCAGCAGCACAAAACACAAAATCAATTTGAACTCGGAAATCGTTAGAGTATTTATTTTGTATTTTTGCATTTTTTGCGGTACTGTTTATGCACTCACGACTGGCACATAAAAAATGACCAGAAATAATGAAAAGGAAACAAAAAGTAGTTTTGCATTAGACGTCATCGGCTGCGGCCTTTCAAATGAATTTTTGCGACTTACTTTCACCGACGTGCATTCGAAATTTGGAATTCAATTACGAAACTCAATACGCCCAGGTCTTAAAAGTCGCTTCAACTTATCGCTGGCGGGCAATCAATGCAAAGAGCGTAAATGTTTATTAATTGGCGGCAACGGGCAAAGCAAAATGCAAGTTTGCCAAGCGGCCAGACTCGACTCAGGGTTACCCAGCACTTAAAAAATAACCAACTCAAAATATTAAGACTTACAGTTATGTTCCTGTTGCAGTTGATGTATCCTATGTAAAAAAACAATATGAGCCTTATGGTCATTGCCTCCATTGCCACCATGACATACTTAGTATCGATACTTCCGCAGTCGCTATCAGAAATTTAAATGTGAAGTATCTGTAAATTTAGCATCTGGAATTTTATCTATAGATGTACAGAACGTTTTCTAGTAATATCACTCAATCAGGCATGAAAAGGATTGATACTGCACTCTCTGATTTATTAACTTGGCATTTGATTGTAAATGTAAAAAGCATTGTATTTTTTAGAAAATATTAAAAAGCGATCGATATTTTTAGAGGATGTTATATATTCAAAAGCCTGACTTACAGATACCCTGTTACTTGCTCTTAATCTACTTCAGACTATCGGGCATATTTATACTTATTTTGGTCGGAGCTTACATTGTTTAATTGTTACGTTCAGCTTAAGAATATGTGTCATATGTTACCAATTTTATGGAAACCAGGTACAATAAACAAAAAGAAGAATGAAATGAGTAAGAGGACGGCAGGGGAGGGCAGGTATATACGATGTGTTCGCCTAATAAAGCGGCGCGTCATCGCATCACTCGCATTGACATATGTAAATTGCGTATACGCCCCGTGACTTAAAATGCCAGCCAAATGTCGACTCAGTGTAACAGCATTTACCTAAGCTTCATTGTGATTGTTGTTACTTATGAGTTTTAGTTGTTGCTGTTGCCTGCGATCACCGTCTACTTAGCGGCTGTCCAGTGGAAAATGTTTGAACAGTGATGCAATGAGCGGACTTGTCTCTGATTTACAGTCCAGATACGTGCGATCGAAATGGCAGCCGATCGCTCATTGCGATAATTGACAAATAGCGAGCTCAGCTGGCAAATCTGTGCGACTGTGGGTGGCCAGGTCAGGCGATGATCATGGCAAAGATGATAAAGCTCCGAGTTGCTCACCTTTGCTAGCCAGTCACTCGGCCAGCGCCTTGCTTAACTGCCGATTGCAATCAACTTGAAAACTATATTTATGCATCTGCTATGCCCTCCCCCTGACTTGGTCTCCTGGGCTGGCATCGCTGCGAGTATATCATAATTTACGACTCGAGCAGCGGCGGCAGGCGGCGGCGTCAGGCTTCAAGCTTCAGCGCACGCGTGCATTCTGTTTTCGATTATGCGCCTCATGGCATTTGGCAGTCATAAGTTTGCGGCTCGGTCGCCGGCCTTGATGGCAGCCGCCTTTGGCGTTTGTATCTTGTGCTTGCATCTTGTATCTTGTATCGCGCTGGCCGCCGTTTGCTGACCACATGGGGCGGCAGCAGGAAATTTGTTAGCCTGTCATAAACTGCGCCGAAACGTATAAATTATGACTGCAACGGGCCGCGACTAGCCGCTTATCGATATGCAAAAAACTAAAAAGGAAAAAAAACCTATGTGTTGGGCGAAAGTGTCGAACGATGTTCTAGGAAACATTTTCAGCATCAGCCCAGCGGCCAAAACAATTTCTTTTAATTAATTTACAACAGCCAAGTGAGCTGCTCCGCCGTCTAGACGAAACTCGACAGCCCAAAATACTTCACACGCCAACGCTCGAACCGTGTGACAGGTGCTGATTGAAATGACCCCAAAAAGCGAGACGTCACTTCGAGTGGAAATGAAGATGGAGCTGCCTTTCACACTTAACGGCAAACTAGCATAAATACACGTGCACTCTTACGAGCCAGAGAATTCAAACAAATTTGATGCCAGTAAAACTTAGAGTGAAGTTGTCTATGTAAAAGAATTTCTTTTAAAGAGAAATTCCATTTTTTTTATTTAAATATCATTTGGTTTACAATTCAATGCATTTAAGACTGACACGTTCACTAACTTATCTTATGAGAATAAGTCTTTAATTGCGTCAATTATGTCTTCCTATAATAAACAAGTGTTCATAAAGTTGATTTTGATATACTTCATCTATGTTTAGTGCAAACTTACAAATGTATCTTTTATGCTGTCCCACAAATTAGCCTTGGCCACATCCACATTGACTGCCAAAATGACGGCAATTAACACTAATATATTGTAATTCATATTGAGTTTGCGTATTTCTTGAATCTAGAGATGATGCAGATGCTACTAGAATTAGACGACTGCTGGGTTATCTGGCCTGTGTATAAATAAATAGCTTAACAGCCGCAACGATGCTGATAAGACATAATTTGCCAAAAATAAGAAAGAATTGTTTTTTCCGACCGGCCGAAATTTGAATACCCTTGCAATAAATTTAAGTACATTTTCAAACAAACCTTAACAGGTTTATGCAATTGAATATGTACTACAAATGAGTGGATCTTTGCATAGTCTTATAAATATAGTGCTAAAAGGACTTGTATCTTGTGGTTATATATAATCAGCTTGTCAAACTCCCTAATAGGCGCTGGTAGGGTATACAAGTGAGGCCAATCAGTCATGAAAGCAACACTTGCTCAAAGATTTTATACCCTGTAACTTCAGATTTGGAATTTGTACCTTAAATACTTTTAGCCTCAATAATATCTTATAAGTGTAATGACAAATTTCATTATTAAATATAAAAAGTTTATTGTATGTGGTGCGGTTTTGGCAATGCAGGGTATTAAATAGCTTGTATATCTTAAATTGACTGCAGCTTTCGTGACTTCTATTTTTATAAGCACAAAGCAAAGTACACATCAGCAATTGCTCAAAATGTTTTTCATATATGACTTTAATCAGCTTAATAAGTTGTTTCCATTCGAAGAAAACAGATTTGTTAAGTTGGGCATTTTCGACTATAGAAATACTTCATACTTACTTTTAAAAGAGTTTTTATAAAAACATATATTTATCTATGAATTCATTTAAAGAAAAACGTTAACAAAATCTTTATCTTTTCAATCAAACGTGTTCCTATGAGCACTTCACATCTTTTTAATTTTCAGTAATATCTATTGAAGTTTATATTTTTTGATAACAATGAAGCAAATGTTATTGCTGGTATAAAAATTGATTGTTCATATTTTCCTAAAAAGATATTAAAAAAGTTATTCAGCATATATAATTTAATGTCGTAGTCTATATATATGACTTACAACAGCTCTGCCCATTTCTTCGACTTCTTTGCCAGCCTTTTCCTAAAAGGTTAACATGTACAATTTTTTTCATAAATTTATTAATTTTATGTTATATTTTACTTACCACTTCTGCGCCAATATCATCTATCCAATTAGCACGCGATTGGTCCATAAAAATGGCCAAGACCAAAGCTATTACGATTAACATATGGAAGAAATTCATCTTAGCTTCTGTTGCAAGCAAATAACTGAAATGATAAGTATACAATTACTGACCCAAGTATAGATTAGCTTGGATTTTTCCCAATAGCATTTGCGCAAATGTGTAGACAGTAAACTTTCTATGTGGTAAATATAGAAATGCGAATTATTTATTTAACTATAGCCCTAATCAATAATATTTCAAGATGGATTTTATGGCTTACAAGTTTTCTGGCTTTATCTTTGTCTTTTATAAAAGATGCAGCCGCGGTTGAATTTTGAAAATTATTTATTTATAGATTTGCTTGATTTAAAATAACCGCGGCCTTTCCCCAAGTATTATGTGAGTAATCAAGTAGCCCAGCAGTTTCATAATCTATAAAAATATCAATTTTTCGAACAGAATGTCAGAGCTATAGGTATAGATGCCTGTCATTAACTTATCCTATTACAAGTTTGTATTTTAAGAACTTGACTCGACATCAATTTTCTAAGAACAACCTGACTTTGCCAAATTTCTAACCGTATTATTATGAGCTTGGTGCCTATATATATTTTATTTAGATAGCTGAGAATGAGTTTTAGCTCCATCGAATTTATCATCAACTGTCCAAGTTATGAAAAGTAGATTTCTCTCGCCCGCATTTTTCATTCAAGAGCGGTAAATTTCGCGATTAATCTTGTATCGATCTAACTTTTATTTAGTAGTTAAACGAGAAACTGCAATAAAGCGGACATTAACTTGCCACTTGACAACTTTATTAAAGCCCCACCTCACTTACTACCAAAACAGTAGTTCAACACTCTGCGGGGCCTCTTTGAAGAAAACATTTACAGCTCCAGAGCCTGTAAAATTTAAGTAGAAAAAAATAAAAAATGACATATGCTATAAAAACGGATCCACGCCGGCGGTCAAGCAGGCACATAAAAAATTAAAAACAAAAAATAAATGAGTTCCCGCCAAGGCGGTTACAATTTAAACAATACAAAATTACATTATCTACAACACATCAATAAAACATTTGGCTGAATTTCATTGAGTCGAAGTCGAGAGCTGCGGAGCTGGCGAATCGAGAATCGAGAGGCCTCAGGCACCGGCAGCTATCGTAGAAAAAATCGATTGGGTGTGACGCATAAATAATTGCAGCCATTTATTTAAACATTTATTGCGGGGCCCGCAATGAGATTTCCATGTGCAGAACTGTCTAACGCATAATTAAAAGCCGTGAAATCCGCAGGCAAAACTTGTTTATGAAATCATAGATACCAAAAATACGATACGAGAATGCGAATTATAACCGGCTCAGTTAACGCTCGGAATCGCGTTTGTATAAGTTGCCAATAAGTCGAAGCTAATTTGTATCTACGCCTCGGCCTCGAGGGTCGCGACAATTAATAAGCGACCGAATTCACTGCCACATTCATGGAGCATGAAATTTTGTTGTTAGCTCATTAACAGTTCGTTCGGGCAACCAACTAAAATTTCAAGCATTTTAATCTATTCAGGCGTGCTTCCATGGCACGCATTTACATAAATTAATAAACTAAAGGCATAAATCAATATGCAAGTGACCAAAACACATGCCTCTAATAATACTTTTAATACAATTTTATGCCTCTAATACTTCGACTAGTTAAAGTTCAATACACGCAGCGCTGATACGCGGCCTGACATGGAAATCCACAATAGGCTATCGCTTATAAGGCGGCAATTGTGTAAATAGCCAGCCATAATGAGCCATTCATAATTTCTGTTACAGGCAAACATTTCATTTACTTTACAATTGAAATAAACATTTTTATTAGCTGACGCTTTGTCAACTAATACAGACACACAGACACGCGCACACTTTGGAACTATATAATTTAAATTCTACGAAAGATGACTTTATCAACAATAGTTTTGTCAGAAGCAAGTTGTCTTAGTCTTCGTTTTTAGATGCTGTGTTAAGACTAATGATTAAAAAATATACGTAAAAATCTGAATACGATTGGATATGTTAAAATGATTAATAGTTATAATAATAGCTAGTTATTGGTAATTTTAGATAACTAAAATATAGCGCTTGCATCAAAGGTCTTCAGCTTTATAAGTATTTGCTCAGTATTTTTTATATTAGCGCATTTAAACTTCAAAATGCAATCAAGTAAAATTGATAATTTTTTTTTTAAAATATGTAATATACTCTTGCAAAAGAAGCTAGAATATTGCAAGGGCAAATAACAGATAATTATTCTTGCTGTTTCATAAATATTTGGGTTCTTCACTCATTGACAGTTTATTTGAAAGTATAAGGAATTTGAACATGCAATATTTTAAATTCGTATTAAACGAATGGAATGCATTTGATTGGGCATCGTGTAAACTTCAATTGTTCTCTTCATTTTGTTATTTCTACGCGGTCTTGTAGTGCATGCACTGACAGACGGCATGACATGCAGCTTGACGCACTGCAATGATTTGAAGTGTTTAGGAGTTATCTTATCGCAGGCAGTCAATGTGCGTTTGTGTGTGTGTGTGTGACAAACTGTGTCTTTATATATACATGTAAATATACACTTGTAGAGGGTAATATAATTTTGTCACGAACTGTGCATGGAGTCCCTTCAACCAGTATATATATATATCTCCGTCTGGTCTTGTCTTGTTTTTGTTAGCTGTTTATATGTCGGAGCCAGCCGGATCAGTACTATATCATGTAGCTACCATAGGAATAGCGGGTTGAGAAGTAGCTTCTTGTTTCACTATTCTCCTGAAATTTTTACAAAATCCTACTGCTTTCCAAGCTATTTGCACAAAACTCAGCACCTACAAGCTATTCTTCGAAGAGAAAAGTGCCTGCTAGGGTATTAGCTATTCGGTGTGCCAAGATAGCTGTAGTTTCTCGTTTTGTTTTTTTTTAGTTTGTTTTTGGGACAACAATTGTATTTTGCTGTCGAGCTTGGTCCGGACGATGTTGGCGTCTATCGTTGTGTTTTGGTTGTTGCTGCATTTGCTGTTTGTTTACAAAGTGGGCGACTGCACTCGATTCTTGAAGCTTTATTTACTCGTAGAATATAAAAAATATAGGGGGAATATTTATGCAGACTCTGTTAATAAAAATTGAAATACCCTTAATTATATTGTAATATTATTTTCCAATTAATAGTTATTTTAAGTTTGACTTCGGGTCAGAAAAAGAACTCGGCATTGGCTGCAACATCAAAGCAGACCCCGCTCACCTCTCTAGAGCGACAGCCAGGCGACACCCTTTGGCTTCATCAATCATTTTTATAGGCATTCGAGGCGCAAAGAACTAACCATATTGACGCTTCTGTTTCTAGCATTTCAAATGAGTGCTCCTAATGTACTATATGCAAGTAGATACACGTAGGTATGTGTGAAAGATACACGCTCTCATAGATACTCGGCTAGCTGTAAGCGCTTATCGGGCATGACGTTTGTTTGGGTGTTTCAACAGGTTACGAAGCACGAGTCTTTCGAACTGTTGAACTGGTTTGCTGCTGCTTATATTTATTAATTAGCGTATCGATAACTCTTGCATGGTTGAGCCATGCTTTGAGCTGGCCAAAAAGCAAAAATAAGAGAGAAACAAAAATCAATTCATATTGTTCGTCTGGGTTAACAAAGTTCTGTCTTGCCGCTCTTTTGGCCGTCAACAAACAAAAAATAAATAAAAAAAAAGACAAATACATCGTAGCATTCACACACTCAGCCACAACAACACAAACACATACGCTTACAGGGCATAAAGTTCAGCGGCAACTCGTAAAGTTTTTCTCTGTTGGCTTTCAGTTCGATTCGAGCGATTTTCGAGCGCGGAACGTTTACGTTTGCTGTTCAACTAAAATCACTAAATAAACAATAAACTACAAAAGATTCGTTTTTGCGTGCTTAGTGAAGTGTGGCCCTGAGCTGAGTCAGCCGAAAGTGCAGCAAATGTAATGTGTTTCTCGTGCCCGAGTTCAGTCTGAGAGCTGCGGTGTCGCCATGGCGTGAAGTTTCGCTGCCAATCAAATTTAATTAATTAGAATTTCTACCATTTGTTACCAAAAATAGCGCATTGCCAATTAATTAGGCAGCGCCTAGTGCCAGCCGACATAGTCATTCGCAAAATTACGTATGCAGCATGAGTGTGTGTCTTGACAATATTGGAATCGGACTCAGTGGTCTACCCGGCGATTTGCTTTTATACGATGAGTCAAAGTTTGCCCAAAAGATAACGCACCTGACGCCCACGGAACAGGAAGCCGTTAAGCGTTTTTGGAGGTAAATGATAACTAGCCCAGCACTGCGCAGCGATCTCCACTGCGATAATGCCCAAATTAAGGCCGGAAAGTTAAATTAATTGGGCGCTGTTGCCGAGATTAAAGATCACTCGCCAGATACATTTGATATAGCTGTGTGGGGGTGGGTTAAAGGTGTGACTGTGAGTTCAAAATCGAGCTGCTAAAGTGCCAAAATATGGGAAACACAGCAAAGCGTTTATATATAAATCAAATGAAAAAGAATCTTAAGTTAATTGGGCAAAGATGATAATAGAAAACCTGTTAGTCAGCTTAAAGTATGATGCGAGAAGTTAAGAAAAATAATTTGCTTAGATATATTTCTCAGAAATCTGAAAATCTTTTAAATAAGCAATGCTAAAATATGTGAATGTTAAAAATATGTAAATGCTGATGTGTAAAATATATTTTATTACAGTTTTTAAATAAAAATGTGCTTCTAATCTTAAAAGTCAATAAACCGAAATGTATAGAGATAATAAATATACATTTTTCTAATGCAAGAAATAGTAAAATAATAAGAAAATTATCTAAATGAAAATCAGTAAAAGCTGTCAGTCAACATTTTTGTTCTGTATGCTAAAAGTTACACAGGCCTGAGAAAACGCGTGTAAAACGCTAACAAAACGCGACCAAATATTTGTTTTGCCATTGACAACTGTTCAAATAGAAGCTATCTATCTGATTTATAAATAAATCAATGAAGTGTTGGGCAAGGGACAGACAGCTGCTACATAGAATGCAGCAAAAATGCGCTGTGCAGTTGCGTAGATACTTAGGTGCGCGGATACAGATACCAAGATACTTTCGTATAGTTAGTTCCACACTTGCTTCTGGCAGCGCAGCAGGAAAATTATAATAAAATATATCAAGCTGTCAGCATTTTGAGTTTTGCCTGTGGCCCCCTTTGTTCCCATTGTTGTCATTGTTTTTGTTGTTGTAGCTGTTGTTGTTGTTGTTGCTGCTGTTGTCGTCGGTATTTTGAAACATCTTTGAAACTATGCGTGCCACAAAATCCACAATAATCTGTTTGCCATCCCATAAAGCACAAGGGGCTGCGACTATTTCACTTTCAGGCGATGCACTCATTAGTGAACTTAGCTCCCCCCTTTCGCTGTAGCCTGGCATTTAGAATATGTATGTATGTGTGTGTTTTCCTGGAAAATTGTACATGCGTGCCGCATTTTTCATTTTCATTTGTTTCTTCGCATTTGCAACGGAAGCTGCAATTATTTATAATTTGTTTTCGGTTTGGCCGAATCCTCGTCAACCTGATGCAATTAGCCCAAAAATGGCGCTGATGGGAAAAACTCTGTCAACGGGCCGTGCATTTTCATATCTTATTAAATTAATTGCCTGTCATGTTTTCCACGCTTACGGCTGCGGCAACAGTCCAAAACAGAACAACAATGTTGCCGATTTAAAATAAAATAAACAAATCATGTTGAAAGCCGTCTTGCGATTTGATGCCATATTTTTCATGTTGCGTTTATTTTTTCGATTTCAAAATTTATGTAAAATGAAAATTTATGCGTCAACTGATTTATGCGGTTTTCCGTATCGCATGCATGACAGAGCCACAGACCCGCCACCTCCCCCACATGTAATCAACGTGCCCCTCCATTCCCCTACCCATCACTGTCTGTCAAGTTGCATCCATGTGAAACGAGCGACGGCGTCGCTTATTTTTGGAGCGCAGACCAAATTAATATGTGTGTTTATGATTATGATACACGTATCATTATGCTTATACATAAATTTGTCTTTACATCTGAGCAGAGGGAATAACAACATTGACAAGAAATCGGTAAATTGTGGTGTTGGAAATATATATATATATATACATATATATATGGCACATATTTAGACAAAGTCTGTGCATTAGGTGTTTTTGTTAGCTCTGTTTTTTGGGGAGTTGCTTAGCTTAGTTGAGTTATGCAATATGCATTTTTTAACGAGCAAAGGATTTGGAATACACTTAGTTATACATCTGAGGTTCAGGCAACCCCCCATTTCCCACCGGAACCATACATTTCATAGTCGATTTTATACAATGCTGGAATTTTATTTTGTCTCGCAATTACACTCTTCTTTTGTTCATCTTGTCAGGACAATAATTTGTGACCAGATTAGCAGCACGGGGCAGTAGGAGTATCAACTCGTTTATATTGTAACTCGCATAACAAGATTTTTTCATTTAAACAGTAGCTATTTAAGCATTTGTTTAAAGATTTAAATGAGTTTTGCATATTTTTTAACCAAATTTTTTATTTTCTCCACTTACAGGTCGCTCGTTTTGCGAAGTCAACGCGCCTTCATTGAGGAAAATGGTACGTAGTGCCGCTTGGCGTAGGTTTTTTATTTAGCTATAAGATCGTGGCTTAAGCCCACGTGAGTGCCACTCTGCGGAATCGGATGTGGGTCAACTTTACGCCCGCACAGAGCTTCGAGTGGCGATGACGGCGTCGGTGACACCCACCCACCGGCAATAAGGCAATGTCTTTGGTCTGCGCCAATTTGTCACTGCGGCAGCGGCACTCAGATTAACAACAGTTGCAGTTGCCGTTGCCGTCGTCGTTGCCGTTGCAGTTGCATTTTCCGCAATCAACGCACTTTCCATTGTGCGGACACGTTGTAGTCAGCCCTATGCAAATGTCTTATGCTTTTGGCCGCGTCTGTTGCCGCCTACAGCCCCGGGCAATAATTGCAATTTCAAATATTTCGGGAATGAAAAAGCACATGTGGTTTTTAATGAAGCCTGAAAGCCAAACAGCCAAAAACCGGCTCAAATGTGTGGCTCAGATCGATATAGATAAAGACAGTTGATATGCAGTAATGTTTGGTTTTTGGCCAACTTATGACAGCGGATATGAGTTGACAGTTTTGGTCGTGGGCGTGGCTAGTTGTTGCTGGCGTTAATTGAGTCAATTAAACGTGAGATGTAAATGCCAACTGGGCACTAGCCAAGTCTGTGCCAAATTGGACTCATTAGCCACACGCAGTTCACAATATTTTTATTTTCTTCTTTTTTTGAATGCGTATACGCATAAAATTTATGACACGCGGCGAATCGTAATAAAAATAATAATAGCAACAACAACAAAAGGCCGTGCATTAATTGGGTAATCAAATGCATAGGGAAAAACCATAAATTGGCCCACTGCGTCGTTCCATGGGGAGCACTTTAAAGCAAATCAAAGCGAACAGAAAGGAAAACTGGGGAAAAGGGAACTGCAGCAATTATGCGAAAATAGCTTATACACTAACTACCTAAAAGTTTTTTTAACTTTACTATAACAGTTGGTAACTCGAGAAGCTATGTAGCGCTCCCACTATAGATGAATAAGGGTATATCTTAAGTTTCAGCTTTTCAATCTATTAGGTAAAAGCCAATTGTAATACAAAATTTATTAGTACGCTTATATTACTTTAAGGATGATAATATTATATTACTTTAAGGATGATAATAATAATATAATAATGTGATAATATAATAATCCCAAAAACTGTACTCCAAGAAGATTCAAGACTATAGTGATCATGGCACTCCTCCCATATAAGATAAATACCCATTTTTAATAAGTTCAGGGTATAGAAAAAGTACATTGAATGTATAGTAAATTAACAGAATTTTACATTATTAACGAACATACTTTCTATAAGAAAGTATAATCAATCAAAGAAGGTTTTGTTTTAGTTTCTATTAGTTGGCGTGTGTGTCGTGGCATGCAATTAGATTGAACAGCGACTGCACGTGTTTAGCATAATTAAGTTTTTGCATTTTACGGTAATTTGTTGTTGGGGTTTTTTTTTGCTGCTGTTGCACCGTTAGCTTCATTAGCTGCAGCTGCAACAACCGCCTACCCGATGCTGGCTCAGACACAACGGCAGCCCAGGTTCCTTCATATGAGGCTAAGTTGTATTATATATGTATTAGTCGGACAACCAGTTTTAATTTAAGTTTGTTTTTCGCTTCTCCCCATAAAGTCTGTCCGTCGAAATTCATTCACAAGCCGGCTTCATTTTGTATGCTGGGCAGCGTTTGCGCCTTCGTCTTCGCCAGAGCCGCCCACACAGAAAATTTAGTCATTACAACCGGACCACGCTGCCGATGATGATGATGATGTGGATTGCTTGGATTTTGGGTCTGTCTGGAGTACGTTTCGCTGTCACCATTAAGACTGCAAAATCGATCTCCGAGTTCCAGTCCGAGTCGGAGTCGAAGGCACAGTCTGAGTCTGTCTACGTGCTTGGCCAGAGTTGGGGCTTGCTCGTAATTTAGCTTTACTTGCAGCTCAGTTTGTTGCCTGTCCGCTGGGCTAATTTCTTAATTTTTATGTGCGTCGAGTGCGCGATTTATGTCATTGTACGAATAAATAGGCGCCTTTTATGGAGCGCGGTCTCGGCACTCGTGTAAATAAAGTTGTCCACGTTCCCAAAACTTGTTCACATGCGTAACTGAAAGGGCAGCGAGAAAAAAGTGAATTGACGTTGATTTTCAATTGCTTGCTGACTGTTAACTGAATCATCTTGCAATAATATACCTTGACTGCAATAATTGCTCTAAAATATGTGAAGCTAAGTCGTGCCCTGCTAGACTGGAACTCTATAGTTTCGGACAGTTGTAATAAAATCTATTATTCATTATATTTGTGTATAACTTTTTATCTTAAAATATGTATATATCACTTTATGATCTATCGAAAGCTGGGTTTAGTTTCATATCATGCACATCATATATATTTTCTATTATTTTGAAAAGTATCTTCTTAAAAGATGTCTTCCATTATTTTAAGAGTTGTTCTTCATTACTTGATGTATGTTGGTATTGAGTTGTTTAGCAGCCAGTTTTATTTTAGCATATAGTCGAAAGCTGTTTTTAATAGAATATGCAAATATCACAAAATTGAATGTAGTATATGCATTAGCTGATGAGCTCAGCAACTTTGGCAGAATAAGCTAAGCGAAAGTCACACTTAGCCAAAGTGAAAATCTCCGTGAAATGCAAATCAATTGCATAAGGCGAGCATCTGTAGAGTAAGGCTAGAAATATATTAGATATTTAAAAAGTGTCACTTTTCTTACATTTGCGGACTGGCCTTAATAGCGGACACTGATTTACACGTGCTGGAGTGAAAATCCCTGCGCTGCATTTGCATTTGCAGCAGTCAATCAACTTGAGACCATGTTTTGCAATCTGAAACAGCCAACACGCTGTTGGCTGACGAGACATAGACAAGCACTCAGCCAGACGAGCCGCTGTTGGCCACCAATTAGGCGACATTAGGCAGACCGCATTCTCGGACGCCCACAATGCAACGGCCAAAAGCAAATACAGCACATGCCAAACTGAACAAACAGCTGTGATTGAATGTGCGTGTGTGTGGGTGTTGGGTGTTTGGTGTCCAATACAGCGACAATAATTAAGCCGGCAAGCAGCGTCATTAAAACACCACGCCTACACCCCTGGCCCTGACTGCTGCTAATGACGGCAACAGGCATAGCCGCAGCTCATCAATATGCGGTTTATTGGCCTGGTTAGCACAGCACGTATACGCCGCGTAGTGCAGCCAAACACTTTCACAGCAGACACCCACGGCACGCCCACGGCAAAGAGGTGCACACTTTTATGAATGAACCGAGCGCTGAAAGTGAAACCGAAAATAATTTTAGTTAAATGCAACTCACACATAGATGGCGCCACCTGGCGCTAAACACACACTGAAAGCTTTCGTGCTGCTGCAATCTTAACTAGGCGCTGTTTAGCCGTCTGATAAGCGCTCCAAAAGTCGCCTATCTTATCGCCAATTAGCTGAATGATGACTTCAACAAGAATTTTAAGTCTGTGCCCATCCAGTTGGGCTGCGAACGTGCGTTTCAAATGGTCAGCACATCGGCGCAAGACTTGGGAATAACATACGCGTGTTTCTCGATTATCGATTTCAGCTTAAGTGGACTAAGGCCAATAACAAATGCTTTGGAATTTATTGTGGCTGGCGCTCCTGTGGTTGCAGTGGTATGTCGCAAGAAAACCACAGCGCATACTGCAGAGAATTTGCGGCGCAAGTGAGTGGCAGTGAGGCCGAAAGCTGTTAGAGAATAGATAATGATATGTATTAAAAGAGTTGTTTGTACTAAGAGGGTTTGGTTAACACTTAATTCCTCTGTAGAGGAATTGCTCTTTACTAAAAGAGTTATGCGGTCGTAGCACTAAACTCCACTGAAGAGGAACAGCCTCTCCGACCACATATTGCATATATTTCCACTGTGAGGCGAACTGAGTCGATCTGTTATAATTGTGAGTGGTATTCCAGTTTTCAATATTTTAGTTTTCGATTTATGTTTCATGTTTTTAGTTTCAAAATGTTTTGGCTTTGCTTTTAATATATCAGGCAAAATTTGTTAGTCAATCTCACATATAAAGAAAATCTGCCAATAGTTTCATTTATCAAAAGTTTTCAATATTGGACATGAAAATAAAGATGGTCTGCTTTTATATCTACTACCAACTCTTATCAATAAACAGTTCTCATAATCTTTTAAAGAGAAGCCCAAGTTAGTAGGGCAACTAGACAAAGGCGATGCCGGTCCAAGTTCAAGTCTAGGGTATGAGAAGATAGTTAAGCGAAGTGTAACTCCACTCGATTGTAATCTGTAGATAATAATAGAAATTATGCTCAATTCCTTATTGACTAGTTGAAACAATTAAAATATCAAACAAATTAAAACTAAATTAGAATCTCATATATATAGTAGCTACATTTTTGCTTTAGACGAGGTACCTAAAAGGCAACTCAAGGCTGTAAATTGCTTTTGACTCTCGTGCATAGTTCGTTATCTTAATTAAGCAAAATTAGTTATTATATGACGCAATTAAACATAAATATGGCCAGCAAATCACACAAATTTAACCGACGGATACATTCTGAGAACTGCGCTTGGGCGCTGCTGCGACTGCGGCTCAATTTACCAAAAAGCTGAAACGTGTTTTAGGCCAGCGGCAGGTGTGGCTCAGAGACTACCAAATGGCTGCCAAACACAAAAGCTAAGCCAGACGCAACCACAAATATATAAAAGATACAAAGATGCGGTCTGCAAGTGTGCGTGTATGTGTGTGTTGCCAATACCAAGAATCAGAAGCAGACGAACTCAGACAGACGTGACCTTGATAGTGACATTAAGATATGCGTTGTCTGCACTTAAGATACATTATACATATTTTTTCTCTGATGCTCATCCGGTCGTTTATCTCAATTTCTCCCTTATTTCTCTGTGCCTGTCCTTCTGTAGCTCGTCAAGTGCCGGGCAATGGCACCCCCAGCTCCACGTTAACCCGCTCTGTGCGCAGCTGCAACTGCTGTCCGTATGGATACCACATCGATCTGGACTTTGTGCGCTACTGCGAGGCTCTGGCCAATGCCAAGCCGAGCGAGGAGGAGTTGCAGCGACGTGATCGTCGACGTTCGCGCAAATCTATGGAGTTTATGCTTGGCTTTGAGAGTCTGTTTGGCAGCGATTGGCAGGCGGAAAGTCGTGTGCAACCCAAGCTAACAGAGGTGAGTCGAAATCTGTTTGGACTGAAAAATTCGTGGCCTTTGATCTGTGGCAACATCAAAGTGACGCGCACTTCGCACACGATTAACTTGTCACCTGTTTACTCTACGCAGGCCGCACATGAAAGCGAACCGGATTCGCCACGCCCCGCTGCCGGGCAATCGCCCTGCTATCGGCCGCGCTCCTCGTCAGTGCCACGCTTCAGTTACAGCAACAGCCTCGCACCACGCGCTGAGTCGCCCTATGGCACAGCCTCCTCCACCTGTTCCTCGCTGCGTGGCGGCATCGAGAGCGATGCGGGCATCTACCAGCCGCCAAGGCATCAGGGCAACCATATCTATGGCCATGCCCACCCGGCCGTCAGTCCGCCGGAAACGCGCGCCTTCCTCCACGAAGCGCTCGACGAGGTCTGCAGCGATTTCGAGCGAACACTGGAGCGCGCCTCGACCAAGCGGCGTAAGGCAGGCGCCTATAGCTATACCAACGGCAGCGCCCACTCCATGGATCGCAACAACAACAGCCTGAGCCTCAGCCTGAGCCTCAACAACGGCTACGGCTCCAAGGAGGTCAAAGAGCGTCGGATGGGCCAGAGCACATGGGATCGTTACTTTGATGTCGCAGGTGAGTGTCAGTTTTTTGAGTGCTGAAAATAGATGAGGAAATACTCTTGACGGCTTGCTTTGCTGCTGAATGATTCATAGTCGGCAGACTACTTCATTTGTATCTGGCAGATACTTTTGCTTTTCATTTCGCTTTTGCCTTTGCTTCTCTCAGCAATTAGCGACGCCGCCGCGCATGTGACACTTTTACGCAGGAAAGTGTGAAAAATTTTGAACAACTGTTGGAAGTTGTTGAGATACCGTACAATGGAACGAAAATAGTTTTTTTTTTTTAATTGATTACATACATATATTTTGAAAATATAGCATACAGTAGTTGCATCAATTTAGAGCTGACTTTAGACAACTATTGAATATTATACTCTTTTAAATATGACTTAGATTTATTTATATATTAGTTGAATCGTTGTAGACATTTCCCACATTTCAAATACTAGTCCGGATATTTTTGAGTCATTTATTTTTTATGGCAATTTAATATGCTTCCTTCCATGGTACTCGTATATAAAGCAATATTACTCATGTTGCCATATATAAATTGAAATAAATCAAATATTTTTTATTGAACATACGAAGAGTCGAAAATACTATTAATACATTGAAATTGTATTTGCGGGCCAACAAAATGTTAAGTTATTAAATCGAATTCATATGAATTATGATGCTCGAACATTTTAGTTTTCTTAGCGTAATCTACTGTAAACGCAAGAGCCAGATCAAAAGTATTTCAAAGTAAAAGAAATCAATTCAATAAGTTATTAAGGCTTGTTGGTAATTTAAGTGCAATGTGTGTGTTTTTGAATTTCCATCCCATTGTACACTTGTGTTTGGCAGGCAACATAACGCATGAAGCTGTCAACTCGACACGCAAGCTGTTAGATCAAAGCAATATTTAAATGTAGCTCCAAAAACGAGACGCAAAATGCCGAGGCATAATTCAATTTTGGACCTCCACCCAAAAAAGTGTCTCAGCCCAATCAAAAGACATTAAGCTGCATATAAACCGCCGAGTTAGCTGCAGATACAGATACTTTATGCCAATATAGATACAATCGCTTTGCATCTTTGGCATTTCAAACTCAATTGGAGTTTACAAGCGGCTCGGCAGTCAACTTCAAGGCGATTTCAGGCGTTCGTATCTTAAATCAATTTTGAAATGCGCATTTGGCGCTCAATTTGCATGCAAATGCTGCTAATGTTGTTGTTGTTGTTGTTGCTGTTGTTTTTGCTGCTGGCCCGTTTTTCTTGTATTTGCTTATGCCATAAATTTGCCATAAAGTGTGCAAAAAGCAATGCAAGAGACTCAGCCAAATAAACAAATCAAATAGTCGCATTTTGCAAGCGAACAGTTCAGCTGGGCCAGGAGCATAGAGTTGACAATGATTAATGATAACTAAAGTATACACTTATGTACATATATATTGATCTGTACATACATCAACATTTGTTATGTGTTTGCTTAGGCACGTAATAAATGGCTTATAAATTGCCTTCAATTTAATGCGTATTGCCAAAATATGGTTGCCAAAACACTTTTGACAATTGACGTCGACCTTAGAGACGAGCCTAGGAAGCTAGCTAACAATAGCCAAATGCTTTTAGATATCATTTTTGTTAACCTTGGGGCCCAAAAGCAAGTCTGGGCAGGCACCACTGTTTTTTTTCCTAGGCAGCTCAGGGAGTTGAGAGGCAGTCCTTCACTTAGACCAACTAAACTTTCACTAAACGTCAAGTATATATTTTTGAACTATATTTAGTATATGTTGTAAGCTATTTTTAACTTATAATAAATTAACCAAGCATTGATCGATTCGCAGCAGCTCATAAGCAAATATATCTATACTTATCGATCGATTTTTGTTGAAATGAATACTCACAAATTAGGGGCGTTTTTCGTATAGCATAGTCTGGCTATGCGAGACATACACTACACACACTTTAAAGTATGGAAATAGTTAAGCAAAGATTGTTATTATTTGCTTGCAAAACGATCGGACAAACTTAAGAGAGACCCACCTTGAAGCGCACTCGCACCGCTCTGGTCAGGTTCGAGACAGCTAACGATGAATCTAAATATATTACAAAATGGTTTTGTTCGCGTCATCATAATAATCAACATTATCATTTAATAATGTGCATTTAGCTTATCTGCGAATTGTTGTCTAGTATCTCTATTTGTTATTGTTTTCCTTTTTTTAGTGTTGTTCAGATTGTTTAATTTGTATTTGCTGAGCGAGCGACGACCTTATCGCTGTGCTCTCTTCTCTCCCTATACGACTTACATAAATTGCCGCTGTTTTTCTTTTTTGTTAGTAATACATAACAATTTTTTGTGTTGTTCTGCTTTGGCACAAGAGCTGTTGAATAATAACAAAATAGCTCATGCTAAATGATTTTTTTTTCGTGGCTGGCAGCAGCTCGAAAATCTCAACTCAGTTTGTCGACGACTTTCGAACGAAAAACATAAAAATGTGTCTAGCAGCGAAATAAAAAGCAATCAATAACCGAAATGATCTAAACGAATAAATTTATAAAACGAGTGTAGTCCGATATATAATTAAATTAGAATGTACGAAATAATTGCAATAAAAATATATGAATTGAAATTAACAAGTAATCAGCGAAAGAAATGCTAGAGCTAAAAAAATTCGAAACAGTGCGAAACATCGACAAACGACCGACAAAGAAAACGAATCCAATTTGAGTATATTATAGGCATATATAATATATGTAAAACTGTAAAAAATTAGAAATAGCCGAATGCAGCGTATTTAAATAACTATTTTAGATACTACAAAAAAAAATAAATTCTAAATTTATGGCGAATTCGCTAAGAGGAAGACAAGACACGCGTGTTAAAGAAAAATTCAAAAATAGATCAAAGAAAAAGCAGCATTGGCAAAATTCGAAAATTCGTGGGAGTGGAAAATAAAAATAAGAAGCTACGCTAATACGCATATAAATCAATAATAAAAATATATATTTTTTTGTAATGCCAATGCTCACAATTTTGAAGAGAATAAAACATGAATTCATGCAGAGTGAGTTGAGTGTGCGTGTAATTTTATGCCGCACTGTGTCAGATAATGTGCGACGTTATTCGCATCGATTTTTGATGCGAGTGTACGAACGTTTGCTTCATATCTGGCGAAGCAAATCAAATTAATATTGTTTATTACTCACACAGCAAGTGATTTAATTAACACAGCAAAAATAACGCAGCCCGCCTAACAAAATCGTAAAAAAAATACTATTTAATTCGCATTAGCAAAGTGCAATGGCTGCCGCCTTGACCGCTGAATGTGTTCTTAATTATGTAGTTGCATTGTTCAGTTAATTGTGCTATTAACAAACTAAAAACCAATAACAATCGACAACAACAATGTTTGCCACAGCCAGCGACACGTTGTCGCTGCGCCGCAACAAGGAGACGAATCGAAAGATCAAAATGAAGCCGGAGCCCAGGCAAAGTCCATTGCGAAGCTGGTGGAATGACTGTAGGTTAATTAGCCAAATGCCACATGACAGCAGGTTGGGAATATCTATTTTCTCTGATATTAGCTGGGGCAACGCGTGTTTTCAATTTTCATATTTGCTAATTTTCTGGCTCATAAAAACTGATTAATTATGGCCCGGTCAATGCTACCAAACACGCGACTTGCGTCTCTTCGGCCAGCCCGACATTGCCTTGACCATCTTTCTCGACAGCTCAGCCAACTTGGCACCGACAGCACACAAAAAATAGAAATCGTTTCGGTTATTTTTGCTATTTTCTTCTAGTCTCATTTTATTTTGCCTAAAGTTCAGTGCACAGGAGGCTGTCGTATGCAGTATGTCGTATACATACTGAATTTAACTAATAGTAGCAAATGGAGCAGCGGCAGTAAAAAAAGTGAGAAAACAAAAATACTTGGCAGCCGGCAAGGCGATGAGTAACAACTGTCGAAACACAGTGTCTGTAAAAACTATGCGCACACACATTGCGAACTCTGGTTTATTAAGAGTACGAATAACTGCAACGCCGTATTCCAATTTACGGAGTCAAAAAAGATTGTCAAGTTATATTTACGTGATTCCGAAATCGCAAAAGTTGCTCGACGGACTCTCTTGCTGCTTATCGATTAGCATTAATGGGATATCGATAGAAATCGATTTAATATCGATAACATATCGATATCCTGCCAATTCGTAGAGTGCACTTAAATAACATATTGACAGCAAATTTCGCTGACACAGTGTCGAAAGCCTGCAAACAGTTTATCGATAACATAACGATCCTAAATGGAAGAACGGAAGATAGAGACTTTTCCAGCGCTCTGGGAGAGACCGTATGTGTTGCACCTACGTGCATACGTGGCTAGATAGAGGATATATATTTGGGTTTTCTTTTATCGATTAGCATTGGATACTATCAGTTGAAATTGCAATTGAGTGCAAAAACCAGCTCGGGCAATGCCCGGCTCGGGCAAAAACGTTGTCTCTTATACTATAAACAAATGAGTGCAATAAATTGTCAGTATGTAGGTAAAATCAATATTGAATAATAATAGCGACAGTCGGCGCCCCGACTTATCAGCAGTCGGACACAAACGCGTTTAAGGGACAGAGACCCGGGTCTGTTGTAGCATTAGTCTTTTGTCTTGTAGACTTGTTTTTATTTTTGGCATTTTTGTTTTGTATTTTTGTGGCTGTTTTTGTTTGGCAAATTATGCGGACTGTGGCACAGTTTGCATAGTTTGTATATCATCTATTATATTTTATCACTAATATTATATTATATTATGGCATTTGGTTGGGCCAAAATGTTGTCAGTAGTAAACTGCATGCGTCTATGGCAAGTCTGCAAATTAAAATTGTTTTGAGCAAAGCTATTGACAGAGCAAGTAACTACAGAAGGAGAGAGTAGTTGAATGCCAACCATTATCTAAAGCTGGCTTTATCGTTTCTATTTTTAGACTCCTGCATGGCGGGCAATCGCTCACCGCGGTCGAGCACACCGCGCCATTTTCAGCGCTCGAACACGCTGCCCTTGCAGCAGCGACCTAGTCCCAGTCCCGCCGAGGTGCACTACGAGAGCTATGTGCAGGCCACGGTGGCGGCCAATGCCAAGTCGCCAGTGGAGCAGCTGGAGCAGGCCAAGGCGACGCCGCCACCACCGCCGCCACGGCGCCATCATTTGACAGCCACGCCCAAGGCGGAGCAGGCGAATGGGCATGACACTGCCAGCCCCCTGCAGTCGCCGGCCAGTTCGGAAGCTGGACAGACCACAGCAGATGCACAGGCGCTGTGCCAGATACGTGAGCAAATGGCGCTCAGTCTCAAACGTCTCAAGGATCTAGAGGAACAGGTTAAGGTCATACCCGATATGGAGGTGAGCAAATGGATTGCTATGCAATACTCGAGTCACATACAAATGTACATGCTTCTGTCCTCTTTTCTCAGCTGGAACTCAGCTCTTTGCGTGCTGAGAAGCAGCGCCTGCAGCGCCGCAATGAGGAGCTGTTGCGTGGTCAACGCCAGACGCCCTCCCCACCAAGTCCAGGCATCAAGAACGCCTCGCCCGTCCAGTTTACGCCGCAGCGCATCAGTCCTGTTTCGCTGGAGAGCCTGGGAGCGCGCATGCGCAGCAGCTCCATATCGCCCAGCATAATAAGACGCGATGTGGCCACACAGGCGGCCAGCAAAGTGACTGCCACACGCGATGTGGCCGTGGGCTCCCAGCTGACCGTCCGGCATGTGGGCACGCAGCAAGCCGAGGTGCTCTACTCGCAGCCGGAGCTGAAGCAGAAGATTGAACAGGCGCTCAGCGATTGCAGGCAGCAGCGGCTCAGGCAGCTGATCTCGGTGGGCACTCAGATGTATGTGCCACAGCGGGAGCGGCGCGAGATGGGAAATCAAACGGTGCCGGAGCGACCGGTGCTCAAGCACAATGTGAGCATCAGTGCCAAGCCCACGACCAGGGAAAACTTCACCAACTGCCAGCCGGATGTGCGCAGCGTGGGCAGCTCCGACCATCGCATCACGGATGTGCTCTGCGAAAAGTGTGCCATCGTTCGGCGCAGCGTCAGCGTCAGCTGTGGCACAGAGGAGCCGCTGGAGAAACCAAAGCCCGTGCCACTGCTGCCGGGGCGCAGCAACACCTTCAGCCTGGGCGAGCATGAGCAGCTGGCGATCAAGCGCAAGGCCATTGCCTGCCAGACCCCAATGAAAATGGTGCACAGTGCGTCGAGCCAAACAACAACGACCACTGTGCGTTCTACGGGGGCTCAGGTGAGGCCGGAACAGCAACAGATGGCAACACAGTGCGGGAACGTGGAAACGATAAGCCGCCAAACGGATACCAATGGACTGCAGCGTCTTTCACGCAGCGCAACCAAGTCCGAGCAGCTGATGGCGCCACAGACACGCCCATCTACACGCCACGCAGGCAGTAACACCGAGCCGGCGCCATTGCCTAAGCCAGAGCGGAGCACTACACACTCAGCTTGCAACACGGATCATGTGCACAAACGGGACGTTGGCTGCGGCGACATTGTCAAGCCGCACATCTCGATTGCCTGTGCGGCCAATTACTGTGATTCCTGCAAAGAGGCTATCCGCGTGCTGGCCAAGGATTTTTCAAAGGCGGACAACAGCGAGCTGACGCCCGCTGCAACGACTGCTGCGGCTACTCCGGCGGCAGCTTCCACGCCTGCGCCCACGGTTAGGCGCTCTGCCTCGGCAGATTCGCGCATTCCGCGCCCTAAGCATCTCACTAGTCCCAGTCCAGTACGCAGGCAGTTCCAGAGACAAAATACTTATACACTACCAACTGCCACAGGAACGCCATCGACCATAAAGAGCCCCAAGGCGGAAAGAAAAATATTTTTGAGGTAAGTTGAACTCTAATTAATTAATTCAGTTTTATACTGCCCCACTCTTAGTCCGACCGTAGATTCACCTAGGTCCCACGCATTGTCAGTTAGTCCAATGTTTGTTTTATAGACTTGTGTATATGCTCAAAAATGTTCTTTTTTTGATCACCATAATATGGAAAACATTGAAATTTCCGAGGTATATTCTTGTTCTTTGTTACTCACATCCATTTCAAATCTAAGGAACTTAAATTAAAATAGCGAATGACTACAGAGTCCATTATAAAATAAGATGAAAATCCTAGTCCTAGTTTTTGTAGGTCTCTAGATTTTTATTTTTCACCTAATGTATGTAAAGACCACAAAATTGAAAAATCGCAATATACGATTTATATATTTATATACTTATAATAGATATTGTAATGCTCATCATGGCCCACTGTAGTCAGAGAACAAAAAGCTTTTTTTGCAAGTTTTTAGCCGAGGCACAAACCCACAGGAAGTCGTGTGTCATGCGCATTGGAGATGCTCAGTGTGCGAGACAGATTCGGAGTCCGAATAGTTGCGAATGCCAGCCTGGTCGCATTGACCTTCAGGCTCAGTTTTCATTTTGGCTTTGGCGCGTTTGCAGCTTCGCTTCGTTTATCGACTTTTTTGTTTATTGTTTGGCTTTTCGTTTTTCCATGGTGTTCTCGATGTTTTCCGGCCTGAGCAGCTTCACCTGCTACCCACTGGTGGTCAGCGGCTGCTCAGCGCTGTTGCTAACGTGCGTCCTTCAGAGCAGAGTTTACATCGATGAATCTTCTGACTAAACTGAATCCATTAAAATATTATTCCACAGCTCGCTGCAGGAAAAGCCGCCAAGTGCTGCGCACGACCTCTCGCCAGAGTCGCAGAGCTTTATCAAACAGCCGTCCAGCAAATCAACTGCAACGTCTCAGGATTTGGATCTAACCCAGCTTGGCGACGATGAGTTGATTGTGCGCGAGGAGAAACGGGTTAGCATTAGCTGGTCCCGCGATGCCTCGCCAGCGCCACTGATGACCTCTTCGGCAACGACGACAAGCACCAAGTCCGCCTCGCCAGACCAAGCGTTAACCGTGTCCAGTGATTCCAACGTGGAGCGCGAGATATCACAAGGTGCACGCAAAAAGTCGAGCACGCCGCTCAAGTCTAGTCAAAGCGAAGGCTCCCAGGTGACCGTCATCGAGCGGCAGGCAGACGTGGAAGAAAGTCCAAAAGAGGAGCGTCCGCCCACCAAGGCACAGCTGCATCAGCTGGCTCAGACACCGTCAGAGCCCAGAAAAAAGTAAGTTTTTGAATCTCAAATCATCAAATGATATCAATATTATATTCTGCCGACGCATAGAACGGAACTGCCCAAGGAGCTGAAGGATGCACTTAAAGTCGTCAACGATTCGCTGCTCAAGAAATTGGGCTCCAGGCCCTTTACATCGTTCAGCCTAAAGACGCCCAAGGCAACCATTGGGGAGCACTGGTTCCGCATCTCTAGCACCGCTACGTCCAATCCGCATGAGGTTGAGGATTACTTGGACTACTTTGAATCGCTGTCCGTGCCAGTTTTGGAGTATTGTGTCAACCTCTTCGATAGCAATGTGAGTTGATAAGGTTGCCAGAGCATTTAGGCTTTAAAACAAAATTTGAACTCAATGCTAAGCAATGAATCTCTTGCAAGGAAGCTAATAAAGACAGATTATTAACGCTAAGTAGGAAAAGATGAGATAAAATTAAAATTCTTTCTTGAGATTAATTCCATGTATGATCTACATAGCTATTACATCTACTCAATACTCAGTGCTTGACCTCTATTATTATATTTACAGGGCAACACGGCCATGCATTATGCTGTCTCGCATGGTAACTTTGACGTCGTATCCATACTGCTGGATTCCAAGGTTTGCAACGTAAACCAAATGAATAACGCTGGATACACATGCGTCATGCTCGTTTCTTTGGCCAAGCTGAAGCAAGCGGCGCATCGGACAGTCGTGGAGCGACTGTTTCAGATGGCCGATGTCAACATACGAGCAAAAAAGGTAGGTAAAGGCACGTCATAGTGTCAGTCTGGACGCTGCTCTTTATCAATTGCTAACCGAACTGATTCTCGGCCCCACTCTTGCAGCATTGCCAGACCGCATTGATGCTCGCTGTGTCGCATGGTAATAGTGACATGGTTGCCATGCTGCTGGATGCCGGCGCAGATATCAATATTCAGGATGAGGATGGTAGCACGGCGCTGATGTGCGCCGCGGAGCATGGACGTGTGGACATTGTTAAGCACTTGTTGTCGCAACAGGATTGCGATTCACTGGTCCAGGACGTGGTTAGTATTAAACCTGGGCGTTAGCCTGCAGCAGTATTAATTTTATTTCTCCTATATTGCAGGATGGCAGCACGGCTTTCAAAATCGCTTGGCAGGCCGGACATCGCGACGTGGGTTTGCTGCTCTACGTGCATGAGCAGATGCTGCGCAGCAAGCTGCCCAATCGAGGGGAGCCCATACGAAAGTCCCTGCCCCTGCCCGCTCGCCCAAAGCCACCAAAGTGAAACGGTAGCGGAAGTTCGGGGGAAAGTCGCAGCTGCCGGGCAGCCATTCTGTATTAGCGGCCAAAATGTCGAACAAACATTAGTGGTAAGATTTGAATTAGCATTTCGTAGCGCTGTCTAGGGAAAACAGCTTAAGCATTCCATATCAGTCCAGCTAAACTATAAAAAAACAAACAAACAATTGTTAATATTTTAGCTAATAGTTAACACAGAAAACAGAAGGCACAAGCAGTTTTTAAATATTATTTTTAAATTGTATTTAATTGAATCTCTATTTAATTATAAAGTCTAAACAGCTCACAACTTAACAATTAACCTGTGCAAAAATTATAAGTAATGCTTAGTTTCGTAATTATGCTACTAAAATCCAATGGAAAACTGACAAAACTTACATTTAATTAATAGTAACATACATATTTCTTTTAAGCCCGTAAGAAATTATTTACATTATCACTAAACAAATACTGCACTAGCCTGTGCTACACGAGTAGCAGCCATATAGCAACCATATCAGCAAACGACAATGCAAAAAACGACAACAAATTAAAAGTAAACAAACATAATAATACAAATGTAAAGCAATTAATTAATGTGTAATTAAATTATTTTTGCAGAGCTACTTACAATAAAAAAATAATGGTTGATAAACAAAATATTTCAATAAGCACTTTTATTAAATTGAAAACAATTTCCGGGATTTCCGGCTACCCAAGCGTAGTACGAATCAATGTAAACGTATATATATATTCAAACTTAAGGCGGCACATTGTATTTAATATTACACATATATGTATTCATTTTACTATTAACTATTTTAGAGCATTTTAAATAAATACAATTTATGTTCAAGTTGTTTTACGCTTAATTATTTTAGTTTGTCTCTAAGTTTGTCATATATTAACAAAAATATATTATTTGTCAGGTTCTTAACACTATTTAGTTTAATTACTTAGTTTTCATTGTGTTTATGATTTCTTAAATATTATTCCAAGTATTTATCTTTTTATTTATTAATTTGAGTTTTCACTCTTAAGTACTTACAAGCTTAATTTTTTTTTTCATTTTTCCTCTTGTTCTTTTTTTTCATTATTATTTTTGTGTGAATATTATTTTAACTTTTCATTGCTTTCAAGGAATTTCTGAGTTTCCATATTTGCAAAGTTATTATTTAGCTCCAATTAAAACTTAATATTTAAAGGTATTTAAATTCATCTAAACTTTAGTCACATTATAAATTCCATATTCGTGTACTGGGATTAGCAGGTTTTGCCTCAGTTAGACGGCACGCTCCTCTAGGCCGGGCTCGACTACGCCCAGCGGAGTCAGCTGCAGCGCGATGCCATCGTCTAGACTGACCAGCGGTCGCTTGGAGTTCAAAGTGAACTCGAACTCCAGCAGAAGTAGCGCCAGTGCGAGACGCAGTTGGAGCTGGGCGAATTGCATGCCAATGCAATTGCGGACGCCGGAGCCAAAGCCAAACCATGTGCTCTGCTCCTTGAAGGAGTCTCTGGGACTGCCCCAGCGTTCGGGTTTAAAGCGCTCCGGCTCGGGATAATACTCGGGATCATTGTGTATGGCATGGGTTGGTATGATCACAAACAGCTCCTTGACCAGCGTGTATTTCATGTGCTCCGGTAGCGTGTAGTTGTTGAGGACGCGACGCATTATGTAGGGTGTGATGGGATGCATGCGCAGGGTTTCCAGGATGACATGACCCATGAGTGTGAGGGATTGTACACACTCGTAGCTCAGGTTATTCTGATGCTTTGCCATGGTCTGCTTTAGCTCCTGGCGGACCTGGCTCTGTACTTCCGTGTTTAGGGCCAGCTCATATAGCACAAAGGACAAGGTGTTGGCGGTCTGCTCGTAGCCCGCCTTGAGGAAGACAAACGCGTGAGCTGCCAATTCGTGTTGCAGATGCGCCTTTAGCTCCTTGTCAGCCTCGTACTCGTGCGTAGTCAGCTCCAGCGCTTTAATGTCCAGCAGCAGCTGTAGATAATCCTGAGTACGTACATCCGATACCTCGCGCTGCCCTACAATATCCTCGAGTAGGGTCAGAAAGTAGACTTCGGCCTGCTTGGGAGTTAGGCGCATGCGCAGCCTGCGGCAAAAGTTGGGAAAGCGTATCATCAGCAGATTCATCAGATAGCCATGCTTACGGGTGCTCAGCGCCAGCTCCGTCATCTGCTCAAACTCATCCAATGGGTATTTTTGGCGCTGCTCGGCGTTCAGGCCAAACACACAGCTGGCCAGGGCGGACAGCACATAGCGTCGCATTAATTTCTGTATGTGGAGCGTGGAGTGGGACTGCTTCATCAGCGTGGTGCTGACAATTAGCAGCAGCTGCTCGGCCTCCTCGTACAGGCTGCCATAAAGCCATTCTATGCGCTCTCGCTCAAACGTCGGTTCCAGTTTCTGTCGCATCTCCTTCCATCTATTGCCACGCAGTCCGTACAGATCGCCCGATAGCGGATCCGATTTCTGATTGCAGTAAATGCCACGATCGTTGAAATTCGCGAAATCTTTGATCATTATCTGGCGTATAAGCTCACGGTCGAGCACCAGAGCGCGCGGCTGCAGCAGCGCATAGAAACCGCAGAAGGGTCCACTGCCCTTGAACTTGTTGTAGAGGGTCGTGTAGTGGGCGGCCTTCATTGCCTCAGTGCTAAGCGACTGGGTGACGAGCTGTTTAACGATGGGCCATAGCTTCTTGGGCCTCTCGTGCGGTATGTCCAAATAGCGCCAATAATCGCGCTGATAGCGCGCGGCCATGAACAGCAGCACCAGCAGGCAGAGCACGATTAGGCCCAATATCATAAATATTATCCACATGCCTTTCATACTGATTTGTTTTAAATTGTACTACAATTGAAAATACACACTCACACACAGTCAGATACACGCGAAATCACAGTGTCACACACAGTTTTGGCCAGTGACTCTTTGTGGCCGGAAACCGAATCCGTCAGTGATCTAATGCGAATCGCGGACGCGTTCTCAGCGACAAGTTGAATCTGTTACTTTCATGACCAAACCGCGCTGTTCGACTGAGTGCAATTGAGTAAAACATATTTACGATACGCTCCGCGCCATTGGGAGCTTTTCATTTAGGCGGAGCGAGGGGGGTACCTGGAGTACGCTACACTACAGTTACTGCTGCATATGGCTTTAACACGCTCCGAGTGGGCGTCCGAGTGAGGCCAACAAAGCAGACTCGCAGCTCAATGTGACTAAGTCTCAGCGTGGGACGAATCAATGAGCTGTGAGCACAAAAACAATCTAGTCGGAGCGGTCAATTGAAGTTGTCTACACTCTTTTTGAAAAGAAGTTCTCTCGCTATAACACTACTTCTTAGTCACTTGCATCTGCTACTCAGGGAATATTGTAATTTTAATTATACAAGAACTCAATATGCTGATACAAATAATTTACATAAAAAATAAAAAATAGATGTAGCGCATTTGTTAGTTCCGCATGACTGAACACTGTAAATTATCTACGTAGCAATACACTTTAAAGTTCATTTTCGTTTGTTATCAGTTTTGTACGGCTTTTATTTGATTTTTTTTTTTTTTTTCAATATTCTTATTTTTTATTTTTGGTTCTTATAGATAAAAGAGCAGTTGTTGGCTTTGAAATTCCTATGGTATTCCCGTTGGGGTGGGGTTAGCTCTATTAAAACTGGCCCATAAACTAATTGCACTGAGCAAAAAAGTTGTCTGCTCAATGAGCAAAAGCAAATAAATGTTATATACTCCCTTATCGTAATGTTTTTTTTTTTTTTTTAATGACTTCAGTCATCAGCTGTCTACGGCGGGGCTAGTATGTATAACCCCCCTTTCTAGCAAAATATAAAAATTGACGAATCAGCCAGCTTTCATTTATTTTTTTTTTTAAATTACATTTAATTTGAAGTCATGTGAGCGGATTTATTCGAGCACAGTTCAAAAATACTCGCAGCTTTTGCTCTCAATGTACTTGTTTAGTTGACCTGTTGAATTTAACGTCCAATTAGCGCGTAAATGCTACAACAACAAGAGCCAGACTCGTCGTGAGTGACCGACATGAAGATACCCCTTTAAGCACTGGTTATAGCCTTGCACTATAATAAATGCACCTTACCTAGTCCGATCTTAATGATATGCATACCTTAAATTGTACTTAAATAATATATTTAAAAAAAAATAATCGTAATTTTTGGGGGACCGGCAAAAGGTATCCAATATGTTATCTGCGTATTTGATAACCAAACACAGTATTTGGCTCCTGTTACCTTTTTTTTATAAATCGATGTCTATCAATATTTTGGAAGTAGACAGAGAATCGTAGAATCAGACTTCTTGTTGTGACATACCAGAATAAAAGTTTTAATATTTTAATCTCTAGCTTAAATAGAGGTCAACTAATTTATTTAGACCAGCTCAGCTCGTAGTCTTGATTTTTGATTAGATATACTTCCTTCTACCTGTTACATACCAAATTTAATGTCCCTTTCTTACATTTGATGTGCGTACAGGGTATTAAAACAAATATCGCGAATAACAACAAACAACAAATAAAGCTGTTCAATTGTTGTTGCTTATATTGTAGTTATTGTTTCTACCAATAGCTGTACTTGAAATCTAATTAAATGTTAAACTAAAATGCGACAGAAGGCAAACATCAGCGTTACCGGGCCACCTGTAAATAAATATGCCGATTTAGACGCACCTCAATTGAAACAAATCTTTGTGAGTGAGAAAGCTTCACCTTAAATGACAAAATTATCGCAGACATTGTCAGTGTCTTCGTGATTTTTACAATGAGTAGTTCCAAATAGAATAAATAAGAGATGTCTGTAAACCACAGCCAATATAATATTTTCGATCATAGCATCCTGTTTGAAATACTTCAATTCATAACATTTGGCCCAGTATTATGACTCTTTGTTTTATTTTTTTTAAATTGGGGGAAGTATGGCAGGAATTCAAAAAGTGTAAAATTTCTTCCGAAAGCCTATATCCCATTTTGGTATGGTGTATATATAAAATAAGAATAAAATCGATTCTTTTATTTTTGATAATAATTAATAAATTGATATATATTTATTATTCTTCATACATTTTTTTTTTGTACTAAATCATTTTAATTTTTATTAAAATTTATGTTATAAATTAATCAAAAGATTTTGATGAAATCTCATGCCTTAAGCAGGCAGTTCATGCCACGCACTTTTCTGCTTAAGCTAGTTAAATCACTTCCTTATTTATTGCTGGAAATCCCAAGCTTGTTATACTTATTAAAGGTGTTGCTTGAGATAATTATTTAATTTTAAACAGTTTCTTTAATGTACCGAGCTCTTAGAACCACATCATACAATTATTTTAGTGGTGCTTAATAATAGCTTCTATTCCACAACTGAAACATCTTAAATCTATTAAGATATACTATATCAACATAATGTGCATGTAATCAAAGGATTATGAAAGTATATTATGAGACGAGGAGTGTTTTTAGCAACTATTTTAATTGCCTTGTTATGGCCAATATTGTTGGCCGA